GCTTCGCGGGAGCGGCAGGGGCCGGCGTCGTGGTTGTGGTGTTCACATCGGAGGGGTCGGCTTTGAGCTTGGGCCACTTAAGGACGGCAGCTTTCTTCAGCTGGAACTCGACCTTGACAGACTTGACGCTGTGCTTGCTGCCGGCGGGGTCGATAGTGCCGTAGAGAGGGATGGTGTACCAAGGGTCGTGGCCTGGGATGTGGCTCATACGAATCTGCGAAACGTTAGTTCTCGTTTGGATGCTGTTGCCAGAGTGTCTGCTCACCTCCTTCTCTCCATACTCAACCTTGAACTCGTCCTTAGGGACATTCTTGACATAGACGGACGCCATGACGTCGGTGTTGGTCTGGTAGAAGTCCGTACGCACGTCAGTCTGGACGGCAGGCTTTCTGACCGACTCAGCCGCAGCGGCCTTGATCTCGTCCTTATCCTCCTTTGCGGCCTCCGTCTCCGCAGCCTTGTCAGTCTTGGCGGTCGCAGCCGCCGCCTCCTCCTTCTCAAAATCATCGATCGAAACGTTAGGCGCGAAAGAGGCAGTCACCTTCCTCCTCTCATCGTCCGCAGGGAGCTTGTCCATCTGCCCCAGAATCTGCATACGCAACGCAACCGCCGCATTGAGGCCGGCAGGCGCCGTATCCGCGAGGTAGCTGTTCCCCTGGGCCAGCTTCTTTTGCTCTAAAGCCGTTCTGTAATCCAAAATGGTCTGCTTTGTGGCGGTGGAGAAGCCCCTCTCGTCGGTCTCGGGCCTCCTAAGGGCCGGGTCGGACAGCGAGACGCCAGCCTGCTCGGCCATGCGCTGCACCCACATCGCGCAGGCGTCGGCATCGGCGAGGCGGCCGAGGCGCATGTAGGCAACGGCACGGCGGTGTTGAGCATCGCGCATGAGGTCGCGCTTGCCTCGAGCGGCGGCGGCGGCGTAGGAGAAGTCTGCGTCGCGGAGGGCGCGGGCGAAGTCGCCTTTGCCAATGTGGGCCTTGGATCGGGCGGCGAGCCAGAGAGGGGAGCGGGAGGTCTTGAGGGCGTCTGTGAGCTTGGTGATGGCGAGATCGTAGTCGCGCTTTTCGAGGGCGGCCATGCCCGCGCTGGCGGCTGTGCTTCCAGACATGCTTGGCGGGGTTCGGGTTGGTTGCTTCGTGGATGCGGATGTGGATGGATGATGTGTGGTGGAAAAAACAGAGATTGGAAGCGGCTCGTGGTGGATTTAAAGGCCTACGACCCCCTTGATAAACGGCAAAAATTGTGTACAAAGAAGGTTCAATGGAAGTGTGGTAAAGCAAACGGGTACGGGCCCAATAGGGTGCTGGATGAAGCAAACGGTGAGGTTGCCTTACGGAGGGGTCAGACTGTTCTGGAAGCTGTGGTGGGGCCGACTGTGCGATTCTGCCGGCAAGCTTGGGCCACCCCGCATTCTGGGCTGTGACCGCCTTTTTGTGACCGAGACCGTTGGTGGCTTGCTCACCGAAGCCGTTGCCCCTCACCGAGTGCTCCTTCACTGAATCACGACCACTGTGACATCACAACTGGCAAACATCTCACCTAATTTCAGGAAAGCTTCCAAGATGTCCAACCACAGCCTTAAGTCATCATATATATCATTAAGATTAAAAATACTCTAAAATAGGTATGCTTGAAATGGCGATATGCTTTATGCCCTTATTCCTTGCCGCTGATGCCAGGCGTAATCTTCTCGTCGGGATACTTGCGCGCAAACATGCCGAGCGCTTTGATGGAGAAGCTAAACTTGTAGTTAGGGTAGATGATGGTGCAGCTCTTGTTGAAGACGCCCTCCATGGACTCTTGCAGCCATTCGCCATTGGCTTGCTGACGGTCCATGAGGAATTGCATGCCCTTGCGAAGGGGCTCGATGTTGGGATACTCGGCCTCCATGAGTCCGATCAAGGCCCAGGCGGTCTGCACAACCAAAGAGCCGCTGGGGTGCTCGTGGTACTCCGAGGTCTCGCAGGCCTAGTCATGTCAGTTGAAAATTTTGGTTCACATGAAGATGCAATCCTTACCTTGTAGCTCTCGGACCATCCGCCGTCCTCTCTCTGCTTCGATACGAGGAAGTCGCAGCCCCTCCTCGATACCTTGCTCGTCTCGTAGATATCGCCCACACTAGCCAGACTCTCTAGCGCAAACATGCCGGCATACGTGAAGCAGATACCCCAGCTGCCGTACCATGAACCGTCGAACTTCTGGTGGGACCGAATCCAGTTAACAGCACGGTGAATGAAGACTCTAATATCCTCCTTACGGTAATCGGGCCAGTACTTTTGGAAGAGCGAGAGCGCAGTGACGCAGGCAGTCGTGCATTCGGGATAGTCATACTCAATCATGATACGGCCGAAAACCTCGGCGGCGTTGAGCATCTCCATGTACTCACCGCCACGACGCTGCTCGTACGAGCCTACACCACCGGTCTCGTTCTGGTACACCAGGATGCAGTCAATCGCGTCAAAGATGCGCTGGTCGTCGAGGAGCTGAGGAAAGCCCTCAGTCTTCTGCAGCATAATAACAGACTTCAGCGCTTCCGAGATACAGTCGCTCACGGCGTAGCCCTGCTCACGGTTGCTGAAGGGCCAACCGCCCTTGCGCTGCTGACGGTAGCACTTGTCCGAGTCCTTGCAGTTCTCGCGGATTTGCTGACGGTCAAGGAAGCCGAGTGCCTTCTCCAGCATGGGGCGCCACCTAGCCTCTTTCTCGAGACCAGCCGCGACAACGCCCTGGATCATAAATGCGGTGTCCCAGCATTGCACACCGTTGGTGCCGTTGCCAAGCATACCCTCGGCGTTGACCCAGAGAGAGTCCTCGAGTCTCTCGGTGTGTCGGCGAACAGTGTAAGCACCAGGGCCGTCGCGGATGTAGCAGACGACGTGGTTCATGGGGCCGTTGACAGGCGCCAGGCCGAGGTAGTCGGTGTTGGCGTCCTCCATGTCGACCAAGTCGCTGGTCCACGCCTCGGCCCGCTCCTTGATGTAGTTGGTGCGCAGGTAGGGGTTCCAGACCTTGACCAGCAGCCAGTTGACTGTGTTGAGGAGCCAAGACTTGGGGTGGTAGTTATCCACAGGGGCGATATCGTTTCGGTGAGTCTTCCAGTTGATCGCTGCCCAGGGCTCCACAAACAGCTCCTTCTTCAGAGAGCGGATGACGTCCGTCTCCTCGACACTCCAGCGACGAGAGTAGATGTACGACATGGGCAGGAAGACCTGACGGATGTGGACCCACCACCTCCAGGGGTGAATGGGCACCCAGTTGGGCAACAGCCAGATCTCAGGGGGCACGGGATTGACAATCTCCCAGTCGACGACGCCGAGAACGGCAAGCCACCACTTGGACCAGTGAGGCCCTTGGGTTGCGCCGCCGAGCTCGTGGAGTCTCGCTCTAGCCTTCACCATGACGGGCTCCTCCGCGTCAACTCCAAGCAGGCGCAAAGTGGTGTAGTTCAGCGAAGTGCCGAAGACGGTGCTGATGCCTTCAGTGTGAAGACCCCATCCGCCCAGCTCAGGGTGCGCGCGCGCAAACAGGTAGTTCTTGATCTCGGTCGCCTTTGCGGAAGAGATGGGCGACTTGGTGACGTAGAGCGCAATGACGGTACTTGGCAGCAAGAACATGGGGCCACCGTATTCACAACCCCAGTCGCCAAAGGGCAGTTGGAGCTTTTCGACGTATTCGAGACCATTGAGGGTAGCTTCGAGGGGATTCTTGGGTTCGGGAAGGATTGGGAGGTCCTATACAAGTGCAACAGGTTAGTGATGCACTCGGCGCATGTCGCGTGAGGGGCTCTACTGACTGTGGGGAGACCCAAGAAGTACTTGTCGGCGGCGGTCTGGGGCCACTCCTTGGAGGCATCGTCGTCCTCGAGATACTTCCAGATATGGCGACCGTCCTCGTCCTTCATGCGCCACTTTGTGCGATCCGTCTTGGCCTCGATGCGGGGTCTCTTGGGCCATTCTTGCTCTGCGATGGCCTCCGCGACACGCTTGCGGGACTGGATTGGCTTGAGGCTGTTGCCGTTGCTCGAGGCCACAGAGGGCGCTTTCTTCTCGACGACCATTTTCGCGGTGGTTCGAACCTTGGGGAAATCAGTCTGAAGGTCCGAGGGTCGAGAGAAAGGTGTCGTGAGCACGGAAGGGGGGCGAAAGGCGAGAGGCACCTTGGTGACGGTGGGCGTTCATGCACTTATTAAACGACGGCCCAGTCAGCACACAGAGCGCGGTCCCCTGCGTGTCTCTCTGAGGCGGTGTCCAGAAAAAAAGTGACCAGACGATAAGATGCATGTGCTCGGCGATAACCCACCACATCCTCGTACGACACCCCTGCTCCAATCATTTTAATCAGCACAGGGGGCCCAACCAGAGCGCTCAGGGGTCTTCCCCCCATTGGATCACTGGCAAAGCAGGTCAGCACTCAATCAACCGCTTCTAGGGGGACGCCAAAGCAATATCCAATTCAAAAAATTCGATCCGTTCGTCTCTGCAATTGACTTTTGATCATGTACAGCACCAATTTGCCGATCATGGACACCCGCAACTCCAACCTAACGTAAATGGATACGCTTAAGCGTTTTTGACAGGTGCCATGTTGCGGGCGGCACCAGGGGGCTCTTTGGGATAAGCTTCAGCGGCTTCGGGTGCCTGAAGCCTCTATGGGCACGAACCAGCCCACGGTCCCGTCCAGTGTCGTTTTTTTGTTTCGTCGGGGCGATCTGCCGGTTGACTTCACACCACCAGGGAATGAAGCCACCGATGCTCAGGCCCTGCGGTGTGCGGTGCCTTCCTTCTCAGACAGTGAGGGTGCCGGCGGGCGTCATCCCATTGGCCAATGGCTGACGAGGTGGGGCGGGTTTCGTCGTCTCCCAGCTGCGATGGTCCAGTGTCTCCCCGCCATTTTGGGGAATTCGGATCATGATGCACCAACATCCATGACTGTCTGTCGTCCGCCTCCAAAGTTACGGGAGAGTCATTGAGGCACTGCTCAAGTCAGGCAGTGGTCATTGACAAATGGACAATGCTACACCCGACATGCTAGGCCGTCGTGGCCGACTTACCCCACAGCCTGCTCATCAGTCTAGCCCCATCGTTGACATACAGGATCCAGATCCGGACAACAATGCTGTCGGCTTAGCCATCGCAAAGTTGCAGGAGATCCTCGTCTCTGTCTACGAATCACTCGAGAATAAAGAAGTTCTCCGTGTACCATACAAATTCCGTCCAGCGTCTCGAAGGAACCGTCCCAGCGCAGCCCGCCCAACCCGCTCTCGACCCGCGCCATCCGTCCTCCAATTCCCTGGTCGGACTGAGAATGAGAGCATTAAATTTAGTACGCGCATGTTGATCTATGCTGTTGAGTTCTGCGGCTGACGAAACTACTAGCTCAGGTGCTGAAGATTATTCACCTCTCCCACAGCTCCCTCCTGTCTGGTAATCCGGTCACCAAGAGGTCAGTACTTATCAAGGCTTATTTCCCTTAAGGCCTGTTTGCTGAAGGCAGGAGAGCGTAGAAATTTGTTCTACCAATGTCCCGATCTCTTCAAGAGTCAGGCCATTGTTGACGGCCTGGTCGACGACATTAGCTACACCCTTGGAATAGGGCGGGATGACCTGAATATTGTCAGTATTCCTGCACCTCATACCTGACAAAGTCTTACCCCTTCTCAGGTTGCCAGCGCCAAAGGACTTTTGGCAGGACCAATTATTCTGCATATGAGAGACTCGTCCAGTGTCAGCGCATCTGCAAGCGATACTGTAAGACTCATCCCCGTCAAGGGCCATGGTCCGACTAACGCAAGCTAGGGGGTCACAATCCCGACAACGAGAAACATCTCTCAAATCGACTTCCAGCATGCTAAGTGGGTGCTTGTAATCGAGAAAGATGTAAGTTCTTACGAGTCCCTGATCAAGATGGCATGCTGATCAGCGCAGGCCACCTTCCGAACTCTCGCTGCTGCACGCTACTAGGATACGTCATCTGCCGGGCAAGGTATTCTAATTACGGTATGTTCGCTCTGACACGTGGTCTTTGATGCCATTCTAACATCAGTATTAGGGCAAGGGTGTTCCCGATCTACATACAAAGCAGTTCCTTCATCTACTTCATTCAGCCAAGCCAGAACTCCCCATCTACGGCCTTGTCGACTTTGACCCATACGGAGTCAACATCATGCGTTGCTACAGCCATGGATCCCGAGGACATGCTCATGAAGTCGGAGTCACCGTTCCGACCATGCAGTGGCTTGGAATCAAGAGCGATAACCTCGTCGGTCGCCGAGATGTGGAGGTCGACGATGACGACCTTGCCGAAGTCCCCAATCCTACCTTTTCCAGGCGGCAAGAATCTAAAAGCAACTTCGAAGCCACAGGTGCGCTCAAAGAGAGGGACCGAAAGATTGCGAAGACCTTGCTGGGAAACATACCCGACGACTTGGACGAGTACAACATCGAGTGTCGAAGGGAGCTGCAGATCATGCTATTTTTGAACGTCAAGGCAGAGATACAAGCGGTGGATGATGCCGGTGACATTTCGAACTGGCTGGATGCACATCTGACGAGAGTTTGATTTTGGCAGCGCGACGTCTGGTTTGCTGGGAGTTTTGCTTTTGTTATTCACTGTTGATGGTCGTTATTTGGACTGGCGCATGGTTCATCCCGCCGCGAAGGAAGAGGCGACGGCAACGCACAGTGTAGAGTACGTATTACTATCTACGCACCGTGTTTCCACCCACCATCACTCAAAAATTTCTACTTCACCTCTCAAGACTCACTTCGCGACGCCAGAAGCCCAGACCCCGGACAATCTCAATCAAACATGGCGCCAAAACTCTCAGAAGAGGAGATCGACGACCTAATCTACTTCTCTCGCGCGGGCGAGCTCGCCGACCTGCAGGAGACCCTCAAGGCCCTGTCGGAGCGCGAGGCCGCGTCCATCGGCGAGGTCATCACAGCCGCCAAGGATGAGGGCAAGAACACCTGCCTACACATGGCCGCGGGCAACGGCCACATCGGTACCTAATCCCCTTCCAAACCCCTGCGCTCGTCGTTTTCGACGCCGGAAGTTTCGATGCGGATGCTAATATGTTTCGCAGACGTCGTCAAGGCGCTAATCGAGGCCTTCGAGCCCCGCCCTGCTGACGAGAAGAAGGCGTACGTCGACGCCGCCAACGAGTTTGGCAACACGGGCCTGCACTGGGCGTGTCTGGGCGGCCACCTCGATGTCGTCAAGCTGCTTGTGGAGAACGGCGCGTCGCCTGCGATTGCCAACGACAAGGACCAGATCCCGCTCGACTCGGCGCTTTTCAACGGCAAGAGGGAGGTTGCGGATTGGTTCCTGGCGCAGTCTGGAGGCTTGGAGAGCGGAAACCAGGAGGGTTTGGAGGGTGCGGCGGCGACGGTTGAGATTGAGGATGATGGAGAGGAGGAGAAGGTCAAGGATGGTGAGAAGGGCGAGAGTAGCAAGGCTTCATAAGGTTTGCTGAATTGAATGAGTTAACGACAGGACCCCGGTGCTCCGTGCCAAATGATGGTGAAAGCTTTATTGTGTAAGGAATACTATCTTCATGATGCGTAGCCAGACAAGAGAGCCAAACAGCTTGCTTTTTAACCAGTTGCCAGGTTGACGCAGCATCCATGCCGGCTTATAGTATGCGTCCTTTAAGTTCACTTCGGCCCCTTCATGCCACAGGTCCCCGCGTCTTACGACACTGTCTGGGACGATGGATGCCTTCCAAAAGAACTCACAGCTACAGCCCGAGGCAACTCGCCTTACCAGCTGCTAGCATCTCATAGAGAGTTTTCTTATCTCCCCCTAGAATGCTCAACGACGGCAAGGAACTGTTCCTAATTCGCGCCGGCGCGCCAGAGCATTCGTGGACTCCCAAGACACGGCTTCGACAAGGCAGCGAATCGAGCACGCCACAAGTCCTGGCGTAATTTCCAGGACGGTATCGAAGGACTGAATTAAGCGCTTCACGGTCGATATCTCTCTATAGAACGGCAGCTAACTGTATGTCGGTCCACAACTTTATTACAGTTGGTAGTACGGCAGGTGATTTAGCGCACGAGTAAGCCATTTCTAATCAGTAATATCAACGCTAAGAAGATCTCTTTACTGGTGGAAATATTTGATTCTGAATGTATCTTTATGTTGACTGGTCGGCTGAATTGAGGAAAATCTACTGTTATAAGTGGTAAACTAGACACGTCTGTCACGATCTGTTTGAGATTTGTATATCAATCTCTTCCAGCACTTCGTCGTTATAACTATCACTATTCAAATCTACAGATATCGTCTTTCATGGGCATGATTTGTTAACTTATTCTTTTCAACTAATCATTCTGACTTTAGGTGGGCAATCCCACCATTCGCTCATATTAAGATTTTCTTATTTCAGCCGATTGAAAACATCTGTCCCTCTTAAACCTTTCATTAATTAACTTTCATTACTCTTTGGTATCTGTGAGACCAATCCTCTTGTAAATGCCGTCAGATATACTTGTCTTCAGCATGCTTTCGCTTGTTGCGTTGCAATTCGTCTATTCTCTTTCTAAGACCAACTTACCTTCAGCCACGTGCCCCTTCCGCCTTGGGAATCCATTCAAGGGCCGTTTTGGATAGAATGCCCACCTCGTATTAGTAGGGGCCCCAGCCTGGCGTAGCAATCTAGCCATTTCTGAGCGTAACTCATTATTTGCCAAATCAAGGGCAGTCCAGCCACCTGCATCGTCGAAAAACCCCGTATCAGCTCCTCTGTCCAACAACAACTGCACCATTTCCACATTATGCACAATCACAGCTATCATCAGCGGCGTATAGCTTAAATGACACTGGGCGTTGATGTCTGCTTTGTTGTCCAAAAGCAATGTGGCCATTTTCTCAAAGCCAAGCGCCGAGGCTATGTACAGAGGCGATGTGTAATGGGGCGAGGCTTGGCGATTCACGTCGCAGCCAGCCTCAATCAAACTTTCACCTGCTTCCACCAGGTCAAAGAATGCCGCCGCGTGTAAACCTGTCCAGTCCTCCTCCTGTGGACTGGGTAGCCTCATCGTCCCCACTTTAGCTGCCAGTTTGTACGCAAAGCTCACGCTCGTCTCATCAGCAATAAACGCAATGACTGATTTAGGCAATTTGAGTGCTCTTCGTGCATGATGACCCCAATTTTCAGCAGCGTAGTGTATGAAGGGTGGATGGTTCTCGCTCAACTCTTGTTCGTCTTTCTCAATCGCCGGATGTGCTAAGTTTCCAAAGGTATAGAATCTTAGATATGTGACGCAGCTGGTTGCAATTTCGTCGTGAACATTTGGAAATAATTGCGTTTGCAGGGACACAAGATATTCCTGGGTGGTGAAATGTGCCAACCGAATGACGTTACTTTTTTCGTCAACTGTGACCAACCCCGCACAAACTGACATGATAACTTCAATTTGTCGAAGGTTGTCTATGTCAAGGCGGTTATCGCCTAATTTCACTGCCAAGGCGTGGCGAAGGTCGTCAGTAGACAGTGGCCTTTCGGCAAATACTATCCAGGCGAGTGTTTTGATCCCCAAATCACAGAACCTTGGGGGCTGGCATCGGATTCTCTCTATGGCTTGATCGTACGCTCGATTCAACAATTTTACCCGATCCGTTGAATTGGCAGATGCCTCAATTGTTGCCAACACCTGGCGAACCTCAAACGCTGATGTTTGATCACTGATGACGTTAAGATAGAGTTGCGCCAGAAGAAACCTATGTCAAGTCTTAGCCGAGCGAACATTCGGAAAGAGAATGATAGCTCAAGGTGTCAAAGGATGGGAGGTTTGACAAAAGGGAGATCTTACATGCCGTCTACGAGCCCCATGATCTTGGATTGCACTGCACAGTGTAGATCAGGTGTCTGTGAGATACTTCGCAATACCTTCGGCAGCCTGGCAACCGTATAACTGTACACGTCCTGGTCGCTTGCTCTAATATCCTGTCTGAGGCAGCCATCGAACTCCACATCCAACTGCGTGGTATGTCGTGATGTGAACATTATGCTCGCATTTGTCTTCTCCTGGAGCCTGCGAAGATATGCAATCAAAGATGACTGACACTCATCCTTTCGGCTGCACTCGTCGAGAGCATCAACAACGATGTATGTTCGATGGCTCGAGGCAACAAGCTTTGTTGTTATATCCATCAGCTCATGGACTGACGGTCTCGTGGGCTCGTGCTTTTCTGTATGCTTTTGGTGTAGCTTCTTCACACTTTCTGGAAGGACACCTTGTGAATGAGAGACCTGTTTCAGGATGCCAGCGAGCAGCTGAGGTAATTTCTGCTCGCTGTGTCTCTTATAGCTGCAATAGATGAATGAAAGCACACTTTTCTCGTCCTTTATGCAATGTTGTCCAATGTAGTCAATCGCGAGAGCGGCCATGATTGTTTTTCCAGATCCGGGAATTCCAGGGCAAAATAGTGTTTTGCCTTGCTCTGCTACCCAATCCTGAAAAGGTTTAGAGTCCAGAAACCATTTGCCCGTTCCAGGGTGATGCCGAGAAAGGAAGTCGCTTTGTTGTGACCCGGAACTGAATGGTGTAAGCCATTCAAGGATTTCCAGGTCCTCCTTGTTGGATAGACGGCTTTGCATATTTTCAAAGCTGGACTTAGTTATTGCTACTAAATCATGGACTGGTTTGTTTTCAATCAGCTTAATGTTCGAAGGTATACCAATACAATCAACGGTTACCACTTACTATCTCTGAGGAGATTCATTGCAGGTGCCTCCTTTTCTATGATTTGAGGCTCTATGTGGACCAAAAGCTCCTTGGCCAGAGCGGCAGCTACCGCTGCCGCGTGCTCTTGCCAGTCTTTGTTCTTGTGAGAGTCTGCATAATCACATATTCCTCTAATAACAAGACAAGGAAAGGTCGCCATGAGTCCTGCTGCCTCCATTTCGACACACAGCACATTACCGCCGAGGTCCTGGTTCAGTTTGTCTCGAAATACAGCGTCCTTGATGACCTGATTTCCAGAGGCAATTAACCCGCAATGTACACGGGTATCCCTCAACCTCCTCTCTTTGGCTTTCGTCTTATCGCAAAATCGACAAGCATCGGGTTCGTCGTCCTCGTCGTCGTCGGAGGAGGAGGAGGAGTCATCCTTGTCCACATGAGCGCAGTCTGCCTTGAATAGAACGTCTCGGAGAGCCTCAGAGCGCAGGTACTTTGAAACTAATTTTGGGAACTTCCTCCCGAGCTCTTCTAAGTATTTGTCGATCTTGGATCCTTCCATTTCGTGGGTAGTTTCCAGCTTTGTCAATGCCGTCAACAGGAAAGTGGGTGGGTTATTGAGAGATCCTGTCCGTTCGAAATTTCCGCCCTCTTTCGCCTTCCCAAGATCCCATTGCACTACGCCGGGATGCGTTCCTATTGGACTGCTGACCACAATATCGCCCAATCTGACCTTGTTCGACGGCACGCCGCCACCAATTCCCACCATGAGTCCAATCTTGATGGTGGGGAAAGTCGATACCATGTTCGTGGCTACGGTCGCTGCAGAGACGACACCGATTTGGCCTCTGGGCAAACAGGCGATCACGATGTTGTGGCCGCCTATCGATCCAAGGGTGTACGCATTCGTGTCGGTCGGCGGCTGCATGTTGGGGATATTGGGATGGCGTTGGTCGAGCATTGCGATCGCGGCAGTTTGCTCCTTGGGTAGGGCGCAAACCCAGCCTACAGTGTAGGCCTCGTGCGATAGTGCAGCTTCCTTCGCCTCGTTTTCGTTGGCCGGTTCATCTTGGTCTCGGTTTCGCCTTTCAGAACTCATTACAGTACGGGGGTATTCTCGCGGCAATCCCAAACGCTAAAGGTAGTTTGGTCGTGCAAATCTCGTGGTTCGTGATATGAGAGTGGAGTCGGAGATAGGGCGTTGTAACCAGCAGATGGGATGAGCCCAAAGACAAAGGATGATTGGAAAAAAGAAGGGATTTGTGTGGGAGGGGAATCAGGATGTACTCGCGAGCCCAATTGCCAAGAGAGATGTAAGCGCCAGCGCAGCGACTGCTAGCGACGGCAAGGTAGACTTGTGACCCTCCGTAGTGCATACGGCCAATCATCTCAGGATTATGGCAGGGGCATTCGCTTGCCTTGCCAATTTTATCACCGACCACCAACAATCCATAGTTTGCTGATTTGAACGTGGCTTTTCTGGTTTGATGTGTTTCGGTCAGACTTTACATTTACCTACCTAGTCAAGACAAATGAAATGACAGATCTTCGAACCAGATATCTTGAAAACAAACGGCTTAGCAGACTGGGTTAAAGTTTCTCCAGAATTCTTACCCTGCTACCATTCCCACACGATCACCCACGCCTTTCACGTTGGCACTCCTGCCTTATTTTGACATTGAATTTGCACCTCTGTCGTCATCACCAAAAGTCACTAAGCCCGATTTTGCCTCTTCAGGCTTTAGAGCATGAGCATGCAATTGGGAAGCAAAGTACAGACCATCTTACCTACGCACAACACGAGTTTTACTATTTAGGCGGATCCATAAATTCTTCGTCAATTGCTCCGATCAGCTGGTAGTAATTAGAGTCATGAGCCCAGTCGAATTGAAACATTGAAGAACCCTACTTGGCAAGCTTGGCAATGTCGGAGCTGGTTCCCAGGAGAATTACAACAAATATTTCTGCCACCAAGCCTCCTCTTCGCTCAGCCAGATTTGCGGACTTCCAGGTTTGCCAAACATATGGCCCTCTCCAGGCACCTCCCGGATGCGAACATCTCCACCCTTGTCCTTGACTGCCTGATAGATAAGACGTGCTTGCTCAATGGGCACCACTGTATCCTCGATACCATGCAATAGAAACAAAGGCGACTCAATCTTGTCTGCGTGAAACAGAGGACTTCGCTCCTTGCATCTCTCTTCCTTTTGCTCATCGGTCATGCCAGGATCGAGGACTAGAGCGCCCATGTACTCTGATTCCAGCTTATGAGTAGATTCGCCAAGTTTCTTGACATCGCTGACACCACATACACAAAATCCCGCATCGAAGGTGCGTGGATGTCGCACAAGAGCCTGTAGGACGTTGTAGCCTCCCGCACTTGCGCCGACGATACCCACTTTACCAACTCTGCCTGCGGCAACGAGATGGTCGGCAACCTCACCAGCATCGTCTGCGTCAACGATGCCCCAGTTGTGGAATAGTGCCTCACGGTAGTCCCGTCCGTGCCCAGTCGAGCCGGTGTAGTTCAGAGCAAGCAGTGCATAGCCTCGAGCCGTGAAGTATTGGGTGCGCAGTTTCAGCCCAGAGCCCGTATATCCGGTCGGACCGCCGTGGGACGAAATGATCAGCGGGGGGAGGGTATCACCTGGGGCCGTGAACTTTGGGTTACGCGGCATCCACAGAGCGCTGTAGATCATCCGAGAAGGTGAGCCTTTCGAACGGAACTGGACAAGCTCGGGCTTTGAGAAAAGCTTCTCGTCCAGATCGGCTTCGGAGGTCCGTCTCACGGTAGTAACCTCTCCACTCAATACACCGATCTTGTAGAGAGCCGAAGGGAAGGCTTTCTGTTCTGCAATGACCAGCACCGTGGTATCGTTCAATCTTGCGACTGAGTCGAACGCAATAGCACATAGGTCGGATGGGCCGACAGGCTTCCAGTCATTCGTTTCCAGATCAATGAGAATGAGCTTTGCCTCGCCAAACAAAATACCTGCTGCTACTACATGTCGATTGGACAGTGGGGCATATGTGTGACTAAACGCTGGTCAGAAGGAGAACCGATTTCTCATGGATAATCCTTTGAAACGAACCTTCCTTGAAACCATCGAATCTCACCGAATTCGGCATTCTCGAGGTCTTTAAGCTTGATTTGCGAGGGTTGTACTTGGCCAGGAGCGATGCGGTGAAGTTGACGGAATCCGTCAGTCTCGATGCACACAAACAAGCTCCCATCAAAACCCCATCTAGGCTCAGCAGCGCCCTCGTGGTTCTTGCCTGCAACTTGGGTCACATTCTCGACTGTAGCAGACGAGCTCCAGTCGGCTACAAAGACTTCACTTGCAGAAAATGGGAGGTTGGGTTGGTTCCACTCCAACCAGACCAGTCTCGCACCGTCCTCACTAAACTGCGGTGTGTAGTAGAAGTCGGCGCCTTGCACGACTCTCTTTGTTTCCCCGGTGTCTGCATTGATGGCGACGATGTAATTCTTCACTTCTCGTGGCGTACTTATCGTGTGGTCTTCCTCAATGGCCACCACCCAAGGGCTCGTCGGGCTCGCGCTGAAGTTGGAATATCGGAGGTTAGGACCCGCCGTGACTGGCTTCACTTCCCCAGAATCCGGATCCAGCACGTTGACACCGGCCGTATCACCACCATTATTTGAGAAGATGATACGTCCGTCAAAGAGTACATCGTATGGAGAGCCACCGTACTCGTAGACGGAGTTGTGGGCGCTCCAGGGTGCCGGCAGCACGTCCTTGGGTCCGTCGCTGGTGATTTCGACGACGCCATTGCGACCGTCTTCCTTGGACTCGTTGAAGTACGCGCGACCGGATGCACGCTACAGATATCGTCAGAAAGGATGATAGCAATTGGATCACGAGACTCACATGAACACGGGGCGAGGTGACGGACCAGCTTTTGGAGGTGACTGTGTCAGCCGTGATGGGGCTGTCCCAATCACCGTATCGCGCCACTCTTTTGGTCACCATTTCCGAGAACCGTACGCAATGGCGGTGCTTGAACGCTTGGAAAGATGGGTTGGAGATATTTCCGCGACTTGAAATGACTGTGACTCACTTTGGCGTGAGACAAGTGAGGGGGACTAGATGACGTTGGACGAAGTCGGACTGACTGATAAGGAAGGAGAATAGGAACTTTGGTTCACCGTAAGCGGGTCCGAGACCCCGCACTTCGCTCCGGGTTTGCCGTCCGAGCCCCGCTAAATCCCATAGAGCCGGAGCCGTCGGCTCCGAAAGCTGCTCCGCCGACTGGCGTGAAGATGGGGTTTCTTCCGTTCTTATCAGTCGCAATCGTCATCGTGTTGATTCTGGGCCAAAAATACAGTCTGGCTGTGATGTCAAGGAAGATCGTGGCATGAACGTTGAAAAGCCTCACAGGTCAATGCGGAAAGGGCGTGCTTTCCGCCCTTGTGGTCAGGGTACAAGCCTGTTCAGATAGCCGGAGGTTTGCTGCTGAGGATTTCGCCGAATGTGAGGGGCGAGTCAAACTGGGCTGATTGCCAAGGCGAACGCAATGCCGCCGACCATCGTCGAGGTCATGATTCATGACATAAATTTTGCAACTGCGACACGGAAACTTGAGTCGCCACCGGATCGCTGAGCAAGGCACAGACAGGGCTCTCAATCACTTGAGTTGGAAGTAAACCTCTTGTTGCTGTGTGATACTCATTGCAGACGAGGGAAATGAAGTCCAAACCCCTGCGTGAATCAACTACGGGGTTAGCTCGGCTGCTCATGACGATGTGGTCCGTGTTTCAGCAAAGAGAAGGTTGAACCGACAGATGTTGTCCAGAACGACCCCCGAACGGAGCAGCTGGTCGCATGCTCACGGCCCATCACCTTGGGTAGGCTTGTGGGGATGGTGACTGGGGTTTGGAGTACAGGGATTACCTGAGTGCTGATTTGACAGACTGAGGAACCACGTTTGAGAGTCTAAGTTTAGCCTACGACAGCTGTCATCTGAGACTCACAGGAGGGTTCGGATTCCCCTTCTCAAGTTCAACCGAAATTGGGGGCTGGTTCGCGGGGAAAAGTGCTCCAAGGAGGTGCAGCCGCTGGCTGAATGAGCGAATTGCGACCCGCGACACCACTGATGACAGATGACGGATAGCATTAAGCTTAAATCTCTATGGTGCCTCCGCTGCCCGCGATTGCAACATAGGTAGTTAGCGAAATGGGAAGACAACAATCTTGAATGACATCGTCGCCGCGCTCGACTGCATACGGATGCGAGTTGACAGGAAAAACATTCATATCTACCAATGCCTGTGACAAGCTTCTCCGCATGATGAGCCGCGTCCGGAAATGTCAAGTAGAGACGAGTTGCCATACCGCCAAGCTGTGCCAATGCCGGATCTCGAGTAAAACTGACCTGACCAGCCGCCTCCTGCAGTCAACTCAAGCCCCGAATTTCCCCATTAGGCGCTCGATGAGGCTCCCGAAGCGCTTGTTCTCTCCTCAGTGGTCCTTGGCGCGCTTGGCGCTACGGGTGGTGGGGGAAAGGGCCTCATCCTTGTGGTCCCATGTGGGTTTCATGATGCTGTTGCTCTTGCCGGGCTGTTCCCTCCCAGTTGCGCTTACACAAAATTGCCCACGCGGACTTTGACTGGAAAAGCGTTCTTCTGGCCATATAACCAATTTGAGTTCCGCGCTGCATCCTCTCAGTCACATCTTGTTTTTGCCCATTCCATCCTTACTTTGTACGACTCCTCAATAATTGAAGAAGCTTTGCGTGCTTTCGGTCAACCAACAGTGTTGGTGTTCCGCATACTGAACTTTTCACCTTCAGCAAGCGCATCTAATATTTCAACATGAAGCTATCACGGGCATTTCTATTCTCAACCCAACTTCTCGCCGCCACATCATTGCCAATCTCAACGACGTCGACCACCAGTGTTCTATCCCGAGGCGAAGCCACAACAGAAGGAAACCTTTTCAGAAGGATACCTGCAGCAGGCTCAGCGGAAACGCCTAAAGGGGCTGCAGAGAACGGAAGTGCAGCGGGTGGGGAAGCCGCGGCTGGAGGCGAGGGAGAGAAAAAGGAAAATGAGAAGGAAATCGAAGGGGCTTTCAATGTCCCGGTTCGATTGGGCGGCGCAGGCGTGAAGCAAGACGTCCTCTTCCCGCCAGGGGTGAGTTGCGCCTGAACATGGGAATGTTAACACACAAGCTAACACTCAATTTAGAAAAACGGTCGCTTCGAAGTCGAGTTTCAAAATGCCATCGGACGAACCCTCACAGTCACCGAAAACCGAGCGCCTGCACCACCTCCAGCAGGGTTCACGGCAGTCGAAGCAGTGTCATTCAAAGTGAACCTGGCAGAGGGTGCGCAAGGCATGACATTGTCCAAGATTGATTATATTCTGAATCCTGGGAGTAAGTTATGGAAGACTTTTGGTACTGCAAGCGAAGCTAACACGGCGTTAGATAAGCTGGACATCAGCAAGGGTCAGATCGGCCGCCTATTCCCTGAAGCGAACGCGTTTATCATCAACCCAGCGCTCGGAGAGCTAGAATTCGAGGCCGAAGAGAATGAGTTGACACTCAAGGTGGCGAATATGAATGGGGAGTTCGCAGTGTTCCTTCCTCAAGCAAATGGCGGCGCCGCTGGACGTGCATAGATACCTTGGCTCTGGAGCGTTGGTGGGATGAGGGGAAGACGGCAGAGGAACTCATAATCATCATTTTTGGTCCATGGAAGGCAATATCTGTAATGACAGCAGGACTGCCAAATAACTTATGAAGAACGACTCGGACTCGGATGAGAAGCGAGTGTGTTCGATTTGTGCTGATTATTCATTTCGAAAGTTGAATTTTATTGGTGATATTCGTTTGCCGGAAAAGCATATCTGGCTAAACATGATCGTGAGGGGGAATGATTAGCTAGACGACAATACAGACGAGGAAACACCTGGCGAGTGGATTTCGGAGACTGTGTGAACCTTATGCAATTCTTCACTCAACTTAGGATTGCTAGGAGTACTGTTCAAGCGATGTACTCCTACTTAATTTTTATTCGGTGTGGTACTGTTTTCCACATACTTGTAAATTCGTGTGATGCGAGTACCAATGTTTGGTAAATTGATGTCAATTGCTGTCCAGAGTTCGAGTTCAATTTGGCTGCGATTGATACGTGACGCTGAAGATGCTGACCTGCAAGCTCTCAATTACCATCCAAGAGGACCACCACGAAGGGCAAGTCTTCCTGCACATGATTCAAATTCACTATTGCGTTCATATGCCTATTGGGAAAACTGCATTAGAGTCAAGTGTTCAAAATATGTGTAGTATATTAATAGAAGATATCATGTCAAGGGTATATATCAACACGATCAGAAGAAAAGAAAGGCTTTCAGCATCCTCTAGCACAACCAAACAACTTAGTCGCAGTTGCGGTTGGCACCGTCGCTGAGCTGACCACGAACAGCACCCGGGACAGCCAGGCTCGAGTGAACATCAGTGAAGAACTTGGACGGGTCCTCCTCGATCTGGCGGACCTCAAATCCTTCACCGTTGTCGGTTTGGGTGCCGGTGGCGTTGACGCCAGTGCGGAAGGGCCCGGACAAGCATCCGATGCTGCGGCGGACGTTCTCGGTGCCCTCAACAGGCTGGGGGTTGGGGAATGCGATGCTGGAAAATCCTCGTTAGTCAAGAACTCCTACGGCCTAAGGTCCTGGCATCAGGCTTACCGAGGAGGACCGGCACGGCCCTTTTGCCCCTCGTGGATGTGGGTGGCGGTCAGGGCAGGTGATTGGTACTCGCCCTGGAAGTTCACCAGGGTGATGTTGTAGCAGATGACATCCTCCTGGGAGTTGATGCCGTAGTTGAAGTAGCCGAAGGCACCGGCCAGGCCGCCGGTGGCGGTGTTGTTGTTGTCGACGACCTGGTCAGGTGTCGCGACCACGTGGTAGGTTGAGGTGAAGTGGAAGGGACCGGAAGAACCCCAGCCCTGCTTGTTTCCGGAGCCCTTCTTGTGCCAGCCGATGATGTGGGTAACATCCTCAATGATCTTGATCGGGGTGGCGGCAACGGCGGCAGCCAGGACCACGGGGACAAGGGCGAACTTCATTTTGTTGATATTTGTAAGGAAGGAAGTCTTAGAGAGTGACGAGGTGAGGGTTGAATATTCGGCGGGAAGTATAAATAAAGGATAATTGGTCAGATTAAGGTACAATGAGATATTAGAGTGTGGTACTGTGTGATTCCAATTGAAACCTGATTCAATGATGGACACATTGCACTCTATATACTCGGTTTCGACGTTGGTGAAGTCCGCAACAACCGACTCTCGAAATCCCACACCTGCGCCAAATTCCAAGATCTTCACAAGCTAGACATGCCGCCTCTGGTTATGTGTTGGTTGAGCCAAGGGGCTATGGAACGGGTCGACATCACCCAGGAGTGAACTCCGGTGCTGTGGCCTTCAGAAACCGTCGTGATGAATGGGCCAAGAGGCTTGCGAAGTTCCTACCCTGCTTGCAAATATGACCGGCAATGGTTCGGGGCCCCTTGGCAACATTGCTGGTCCCCCGATCCGGGGACGCGCGCGTCGGCGTGCTGGGGTTACGGTCATGACACCGCCGATCACTTGGGGTTCGGCAGCGGAAGCGACTTTTACCGAGAAAAATTGGGAGTTGTTGTGTCTTGTCTAGGTTTGTCCGGTAGCGCCAAATATTGGACAAGCTCCTTGGCGATTGCTTGGCCCTCAATCCAACAGTGATGTGCCGAAGCCAGATTCACAATATTGGGCACCCAGAGTATGGTCAATTGGATGCAGAAAAACGAACAAACGTTAAGCTAGGTAGACGATCATGTCTGCTTTTCTCCGGACTATGAGGCTGCAAGCTGCAAATACTTTCGCTGGCGTACTGGGCAAATAACGGAGGCCTTCGCATCCGAAGTAGTTCCTGGGAGAGCCAAGAGACAGCTACGGACTAGCTTATCTCCCTACCAAGAGAAAATTAGACAGACGGCTGCTGGGCATTCGTGAATGACATGTTGGCGCAGTCTTTTGGAAGAGATTTTGTCTTGGCGATGAGGCAGAGCAATTAGGTGAGACCTGTCTAGCATTGCTCGGAGACGGACGTTGCTGTTAAGAATGGCCCCCAATCTCTCCAAGTTCAGATATGTTTGGAATCAAAACAAAGAGCCAATGGGATTGCATAGCGCTGAAAATCCCGAAAAGGCAGATGGGTCTTGAAAGGCATTTCATCGCCCAATGCAAGAACAATCGCCACCGGAGAAGGCAATTTTTACATCAAGTAGCCTTGAGCATGGGCGAGACCTGTAAGTCAGATGCACACATCTCATTCATAAAGCATGCAGATACATGTTGAGCGCATTACTCCTCAAATTTCGATTGTTCGAAGGGTATCTACTAATAGTTGGTGTGGCAGCCTTGCTCTACACTCAATACATCATGAAAAGTTCCATCCGAACGTTAAAATTGGCCCAATTTCTTCCACCACGGATTACTAGTAGTCGGCCTCACGGAAAGCATTTCGTGATTGATGATCAACAAGCCCTTCCTGTTCCATATAGCGCACCCAAATCATTTCTTCTGCATTCACTGGGCGTTGTTCTTTACTGGCCCTCTTCTTCTTATTCCCTGCGAAGCCAACCTCGTCCCCATCCATGTTGTACCGTGTCATTTTGTGTCTGTGGCACCAAGGGGGCGTTTCCAGAGCTATTGCTGGATCCTTGGGATATCTCTTCACCAGTTGTTATTCCCAGCCCCTGTCCCTGCATTGTGCTCGAATCTGGAGAGAGCGGCGATACAGCCGTGTCTAGGGTGTTTCTGTTGGAGCTGTCGGGCATTGGAGAGACATATGCTGGCGGAGGCGAATGGTTCGCTGTCGGGTCGTAGTTATCGGCCGGTAGCTCGCTCAGCTGAGTTGGTGGCTCCGGATCGAGCTCAGCGATGTGCTGGGGCGGGTCGTACGGCCTAGCAGCCACGGCAGCCGCGGGGTCAAGTTCGGAGATCGGTCGGGAGTCGCCGCTCAGCTCCGACTTGAAAGCATATACTGAGTTTTCCGGAGGTGCCAATTTCGTCCTGGCTGCCGCCGCAGCCATAGCGGCGCCGGCCCCGGCCCCGGCGACGCCAGCCGTGCCAATAGCTGCGGCCGAATGCATCTGTGGTTCGACGTCCCCTTTCATTGAGTGTTCCTCGGCTCCATCTAACCTGCTTGATCGGTATCTCTGGAAGAACTTCCAGCAGATGAACAGTATGAGTACGACAGCTAGGACGATGCCAATGGCAAGACCAGCCTTCGCGCCAGGATCTAGACCTCCCCCATCATCCGGCGTTGAGGTTGATGTCGCACTCGTTGTTGATGTGTTTGTAGTTCCCGTTGAGGTCCTGCTAGCCGTCGACGATCCTGCTGTGGTGGTTGCCGCCGTTGCCGTTGCGGATGCGGATATTGTTGACGAGGACTCTGTTGGGTAGGGTCCCGTCACGTAACAGTATCGGATGGATTCGAATACTGATACGTATTGCGTGCAGCTACCCTCAAGCTTGGTAATGTCATCCAAATCATTGCTGTACCACGAAGCCATCTTACTCCTGTAAGATGCATAGGTGGTTGTGAGCTCGGCCCCTGAGAGGGTCGATGTGAAGTCGCAGGCTGTCGCAGGCCATAGCGTTGTTGTCGGCGCGTCATCCAAGATATCCTCCAAATCCTCCAGACAATCTGCAGCATTCTGTCGTCGAATCTGTTCATACCGGGCGCGGACATCGGGGCGGGCGGCGGCAGTGGTCATGAGACCGGCCAAAAGGCCGAGAGCGGAAGCGGTGTCGGAACGCATCGAGATGGGCAGCGGACGTCCGAATTGGGTTTCCTCTTGCTAGGATCAAAATCTCACGCGCCGGAACGGACTGGAGAAGAGCAGGATCGCTCACATTTGTGGTCGAGAAACGGAGAAGATCACGCGGGGAAGACAAGAGCCGCCGCGGAGGAGACCACGCGGCCCTGCCGATCTATTCAACGAAATACCTACGTCAACAACAATTCCCGCCATGTCCCGTGTCAATCAGTTCAGTCCTACTCGTCTGCAAAATTCTGCGCCATCGCAACTCCACCTTATCGCTCGAAATCCACCAGTTGATGGGTCTATCATTGCTGGGCAGGGCTAATTATATAGAGCTGCATCTGCCAAGCCAGGGCGGATCAGGGAACGAGCCAACAGCGATGGTTCGTCCCAACGGCCAAGCAACCCCGGCCCGGGATCTCAGCCACGGTGATTGCGCTGAGCAGGGCTGTGTTGAAATGATCACCACCCGACCTGTGGGGAGATGCGTTTCTTTCCAATTCGCCCAGTCCGCAGAAGTCTGCTCAACTTGAAACAAGCCGCCAATCCGCGTTCGGTTTATCGGCTGTTGGGGATTGGCTCAGTGGTGTGTGATGGGGGGAACACCGGCTTACACGCACGCGCAAGCTTTTAGACTTATCTGCTGCCGGCCGGGTTGATAGCTCTTCGACACGGGCGGGGTTCGCTGGTGTTACGAAGCTCAACCCTGCCGTGGAAGCCCGGCCGACGAACGGCAGATTGGGAGAAGAAGGTTGGGCCGGAGACAGTTGCGCGGATTCACACCATCATGACGTTACGAGGGGTGGAGTGGTGTGACTGGGGCTGGGCAAAAAGGAAGAAATGAGACTGTGGTCTTGGCATCCAAGAAGGTTCACGACGAGATGAATTGTCGGGGTCGCCGCGACTCATGACCGGCAGTGATCTTCTCGCTCTTTCGGGGTCAGCCTCAGCTCCGGGCTCGAGGGAGCGGCCGAGGTGGACACCGTCCAGGGGAAGGGCGATTCCGCCTGTGTCCGCTAAGGTAGTGGAGAAGTTTTAGCATCTGGAGGAGAAATTAAGCTCAAATTGACCGCACGCCAATACCGACAGTCTGTTTTGAAACATCTTTCTGTGGTCAACTTGAGATAGGAGATCTAGGTGGTATCTGATGCTAGCGGAGATAATGAGAGAACACAAGAAAAAATCGTCGATCATCACGACAGGCGAGACATCGCGACCGACTGCAGCTTTTCATCCACCCCTGTCGTCGCCTGCTCCATTTGCGCCGCCTTCATTGCCACACTCTGGTTGCCTCAGCCCCAGGCACACCCAATCATTCTCTCTAATCGTTGATGCGATGCTGCCAGACTTCCTGCTCAGCTCTTGCGCTGTACGTGCTTGCGCCCAGAATATCCCGCATTTGCTCAACGCCAGTGAACATGACCTGACGAGACACAAACCAGCGGATCCCCTCGTGGCAAGGCGGGCTCGTCAGGCTGCCTTGATAGGTCCAGAACTCGTTGAAGAGAAGGACGCTTTCAAGAGCGGGCATGTGGTTGATTTCAGTCTCCTGCTGCATGCCCACATCGTTGAACCCAATCATCTTGGGAAGCTGGTTGAAGAAGGTGCTGTTGGCGTTGCCCGGATCGAGGCGGATAGCCAGCACAGCCTTCTCATGGCCCTCCTCGTCCACGTGTACGAGGTGCAACTCAGCCTTGGACCGCATGCCGTTTACGGTGTGGTCTGCTGGTGAGTGGATATGCCAGCCTTTCAGGTAGAGCGTCATGTCGTCGTAAGTAAACGATGGGTTATTCGTGTAGACGCCTTCAGGGTGCGTGACGGTGAACGCTGGCCCATAGTTCCAGTTGTAGAAGTTGCCAGCGGTCTTGTTTGGGTAGTTGAACTTTAAGACGTGGCTTAGAGCAAGGCCGAGACCGAATGAAAGCGCGATTGGTGACTGTTGAGTGCCTGTCTGGCAAAGACTGTAGTCTGAGGCTGGTTAGAGTGAGGCTCAGAAATGAGATGAGTCTTGCTCGCTTACTCGGGTTGATGCGGCCCCAATTGAATGAAGCCTCATAGGCCCAGTCTGCCGGTTTTGGAGGCACAGGAGCAGTTTGTCTTCTTCTCCCCATGGCATGGTAATTCTCGTGGCTCGCGCAGGCCAATGTCCCAGACGCCCACAGCAAGGCGCTGAGGAAAGACGACAAGATTAACATGGTCGCAAACTGCGTAGACAATATTCGCCTCTCAATCACGACAGCGCAACAGATGGTAGATGAGGTTGGATTGGTGAATAATTCCACTTCTTGAGGGTTCGCAGCAGGCTTATAAACTTCTTCCATGCGCTTCCGGGGTCCATGGATAGTTGCACCTCACGAAAGTTCATTTCTCCGTAGTGGGTGGCTTGCAGCCTCCAAAACTGTCGGCGAGATCCCGACGCATGGCTGGCAAAAAGCTGCAGTCGGCCGGCCAAGACGTGCTAACGAAGTAAGGAAGGAAACAGAGCATAGCCATCGTCAGATTCTGAACCCTTGACACCGCGTTTTTATTCCCATGATGCTTGGCGCAGGAATTGGGGTGCTGGACCGGCGGATGGGGACAGCACTCGCTGTTGGAACACCGGATGGCAGTACAGCAGACGCTGAGCAATATCCTGGCAGGAAACTCTGTGTTGAATTTTGCCGCCACTCGAGGTGAACCCCTCATTATCACCTGAATTATAAAGCTAAATCTTGCCGTTGGAAGCGGAAGTGAACTTTCTTTCGCGAAATCATGAGCCACAGATTCGGTGCAAAGACGAGATGGACAGGCATGAATTGACAGGATACGACGGGCACTAGCCAATAGAATGCCTCGCGCTAGCGTCCCTTCGCCGACCGCCGGACGCTTGTTCTGCTGTGTTCTGTCTTGGCGGTTGAAATGGCGAGCAGCGTGGTGTGGCTTGGCTGACGCCTTGTCGAACGGCCTTAAGTTTTCCCAAGACTTTTGCGCGGGGAAGTACATCCCATTGGTCGTGTTGGTAGAACGAATACCGGCCGGGCACTCCCGGATTGTGCTCAGACGGCCTTCTAGTCTGTGTGTCATTTCCTGGCCACGGACGTTTGAGAGGCTTGCTTGTATGCAGGAACCCCGCGATGATCTGAGCACGTGGCTGAGGTCTCAGTGCCTCATCCTGGAGGAGCTACTGGTTCGTTGAGGTCTGGACTTTGCCGAGCCGCAGACCGCCTTGCAGTTAGCACAGTCCGTACTACGGACAAGCTCTGGGTTAATATCTGGTCGTGTGTTTATTCGTGGAGTTGAGCGAGTCCAAGAGCCTCCTGCGTTGAGAGGGGGCGGGATGCAAGACACGAGTAATCTGAGACTGAGACAATAGGGTAAACCCGCTTCGGGGGAGGCCGGATGTGAGAAATCTCTTTCCCTTGGAGCGTGTAACCGAGGATAATTCGTTGTTAAGGCACTTCGACACGCCATGCTGCTTACGTTTCTTTTTATCTCGGGGTCGCTCATTGTCAGTTCTTCCGTTTTTCATCATTTGCAACCTGCTGCCTTGTGCGTGGAACAAATAGCAGGGACGGAAAAGCGTCTAGAGAAGCACTGAGAAGGATTCATGGTTTGCAATTGAATGGGAAGTTTTATGACATTCTCTTGAGTCCGCAACAACATGGTGGGCAGTCGGCAAAGTTTCAACGTGATTGAAGTTAGGGCCTTGAAGCATGCCTGATCATATAATAATGGATGTTTGTTGATGAACTGGAAGACAATCCGCTAGACTATACTTCAAGCCTGTTAATAGTGTTTTCATACTCAACGGATGTGCGACTTCAATTGGTTGGCCTAGAATGATTTCGTGATATGGGCCTTGTTGGCCGAAGTCGTTGCATTCATCGCGGAGTGGAGCCAGTCATGTGTAATTCGAGCGAATCCGGCAGGCATCAGTAGTACTATGGGACTTTTGTTCCAATCATTGGCTGTGATAAATCAGATCAATCACAATCACGGGAATTTACCCCGCTCATTTTCATTCTTACTCCATCTCACACCGCGAAGTCTGGTGGGATTGTGACACCGTCCAACCAAGCAGCCGCCAAGCTAGTCGACGATGGTTTCCAACGTACCTCCGACACTTTGTCCAAGATGTGATAGTCTCGATCTGGACAAGATATTTGCTGGAAAATATGACACTCCACAGATTGTCACACAATTGGGCGACGTTCCGCATGATATGCTATCGAGCGAATGCCCGTTGTGTCGTTTGTTGGCGGAGGCAGTTCACAGACCTTTCTCAGACGAATCACTCACATCCTACCATGATACATGCTACTTTTGCAACAATGTCGATACCGATGCGCCCTTTGTTCAAGGTTACTTCTTATTTGCGGATCGGATCAGCAGTACCAGGTGGGAAGGTATTGGCCACTCGAAGGTGACGAGCTACCTCGGCACCATCTTGGGAACCGCGATTGCCAATGAAGGGCTGTTTATCAAGTCGGATGTCAAGAATGCCGACTCCGCAACCACCGCAGCCAACAAGTTGTGCCCACCGGCGACTGCCGATATGGATATACCTAACGAAGGATTTGTTGCTCTGAAGGTTGGCAGATTGAAAGAAGGAAAGAGTATTGCAAGTTATCTGGGAAGTATTTACCCAGCTTCAAGCTCTGAATCGAAGGCGGCGGCAGGTCGTCTCGTGCCCTCCACAATCAACTGGAAGTTGCTGCGATCCTTCGTGCAAACATGTGAAGACTCTCACGAGGCATGCCGGTCAACTAAACAAGAACTCAGCATAACTGGGTTTTGCTTGATAAACTGCAACACTGAGAGTCTTCAGCCCGCAGCACCTGATGCGTCATACGTGGCTCTGAGCTATGTATGGGGCCAGCCGGATAAGTCGAACGACTTTCGGTCATCACTGGACTTAGCCAGAATGCCGTTGGTCATCCAAGATGCCATGACTGCAGTGAGAGAAATGGGTCTTGTTTATCTCTGGGTTGATAGGTAAGCCAAAGGGTCAATGCCGATGGCATACAAGACTAGGGACTGACAACTTAGATACTGCATCAAGCAAGACGACCGCGAAACCCTTAGCGACCATCTGTCCAAGATGCATGTCATTTATCGACACGCTGTTTTCACCATAGTTGCAGCCGCAGGTAATGATTCAGCCTATGGACTACCGGGTGTCTCGATAAGACGACGGCAGCCACAGGCGCATGCAAATATTGGAGGACGTCTGCTGGTATCGGCTCTTGAGCCCTACACGAGCGACTCGAAGAGCATCAAGTGGAATACTAGAGCGTGGACGTAAGTTGTGCAGCCCAAGGTTTGTAAGCTGAAATGCCACGCGAATCCGAATCTAACTATCTTCCAACCGCAGATATCAGGAGGATGTATTCTCTGTCAGACAACTCATGTTCGGCACCCATCAGGTCACATTCAGATGCGCCGAGAGTCAGAACTGCGAAGGCCTTACCGATCCGTCTGAAGCTAACACATCTTCGCTGCGTCTTTTCGGTGTTCGCAGTCGTTCTGCGTGGGAGCACATCACGCACTACTCAAAGCGACGTCTCACGTTCGAAAGTGACGCCCTCGACGCCATCACCGCCACGCTTAATGATTATAATGACAAGACGAAGGACGCCGCTTTCCATGCGTGGGGCATGCCATTTGCGGCCAACCTGAATGTGTTGGATGGCTCGCCTCCTGGGCCTCTGAGAGGCGCCGTGTTTGCTTCCGAGCAGGCTATTTTTGGGTACAGCTTGGCATGGTATCCGGCGAGCAACAATATTCGAAAACGTCATGGGTTTCCTACCTGGACTTGGGCTTCGTGTGGAGCCAATGTTGGGTTCCTGAACTTGCCTTACGGGACGCCGGACAATGCGTTGATGCCGGACCCAGAACTCGACGTTCGGTTGGAATGTTGTAACGGTCGAATTATATCTTTGTCCGAGTACATGTCGCAAGACTCTCCTGTTCAACTCTCCCGTTACCTCCACCTAGAAGCGTGGTCAGTTCGCAGTAGCTTGACCTTCCATCCCGACGAAGGGACGGCTACGATCGATGTCAGTGACGAAAAGTACCACTTGGCGGGAAACATTGGCCTAGAAATCCTGCCGGACGACGATGACCACAAGCCGATTCATAATCTCATGATGGGAAGAGACGGATGGGAGGCCATCGTTGTGTTCTTCTCGCCTGAAAACAATGAAGGCGCGGTACAGCCATTCATCATTACGCTCATGAGGGTTGACGACGCCGAACAGCCAGATGAAGTGGTCTATGAACGATTTGGTCACATCAGTGGCCTCAGACTGGAAATGAAGCCCCAAAGACGGGACAGGAATGGCCAAGCTGCTAGGAAAGATGCCTTGGGTAGAGGAGACATCCAAAGTAAGGACATGAATCACCTTCGTCGTACTGTTGGATGGGCAGCCAAGGCCTTTGACGATCAAGCAAGAGAGACACAGGAAGCGGAAGAGAAGTTCAGGAAGTTTCGAGAAAGTCTTCAACAGGTTGGCCACATACCGCAACCCTCTGGCGTGACGACCGCAGAGTCGGATGATTCTGAACGTTGCCAATTGGACAGAGAACCCGATACAGAAGGAGTGGCCTATTTCTCTTCGCCCCAGATATCTAGAAGCAAGGTAGCTTTTGAAGAGCTTGGTAGAGAAGCCGTGGCCTCAAAGGACCCCACGTGGAGTACAGCAAACGCGCCCCCAACGTTGGAAGACGTGGGGACTGCCTCGAAAGCTTTGGATTCCGTCACAACGACCAGCGGTCAAGAAGTGGAATTAGAGACACCACAAAACGAAGAGACTGATGATTTGGACGGCGGAAGCCACTCGACAGACACGGCAAGCTCCTCAGAAGCTGATTCGGATGACTACGGGGATTACACCATCAACATGGCTGTACGTCGGGGACACATCAAGCGCTTATTCCCTCGGATTCCACTGGTTAGGAAAAGGCTCGTAATAAGATAGCTGCAAACTCCCGAGACAGTAGTAAGTCTACTCACTGGGGCCCCTCAGAACCCGGACGAGTTTGATGCCTTTGGTGGAGTTACGTCAGTCTCTCGTCAAGACTCAAAGAAGCATGCGTGTGTGTGGAACACGGCACACGGCAAGACATGCATGCCACGCGTGTAGCTAGGTGCTCTTCCGACGCCCGCTTTCCTTGGCCGAGACATAGCCGATGAAGTTAGGCGTCAATGATGACTGGGACAAAAGGAGAGAGAGTGGGCAGGCTTCTTACCGGTCCTTCCAGACCTGGCCTAGACTTTTACCCCTGGGGCCCCGGAGTATCTTCCAGCCAATGAAGGGAGACAGTGCCCCAACTTGGGATGCATCTGAACTGAAGAATGCTCAAGGTGCCCAACGTGATTTTGACCAGACACATGCGTCCACATGATGGGCTCTTGTTTTCTGATTATTCTCTGAGCAGATCGTGGACTTGCACGTCGCTGTCCGGCCCCAACTTGGGCATCCCCTGTCCCATTTACTTTTAGGTGCCCTTGCCCTGGCGGCGGGCGGCAGAGGGGCGTCACAAGAGCGCAGGAGCGTGCTCCGACGGCCTCCTATTGGTCGGAGCCAGCGCCGCAGCCAATGGGAGCATCGCTCCGACGGACCCACCCGTAGCGGTTTCCAGCGTCCCAGGGGGCAGTCCCACTGATCAGTGATCGAGATTCAGCGCTGTCCAGTTACTGAACAGCAAGGTAAACTCGAACGACCACCGGGCTCGGGCTCACTTTGCGAACCTTGGAAGCCAATTTTCCCCCTTCGTTCGGTTCAGGCTCACGTCCCCGTCACTTCTCACCCGCCATCACGCTCGTTAAGTCCTGATTCATTCGACACGGAAGAAACAGCGAGGCTTTGCGCGACGAAAGCCCCTCTCGCGGTTGTAATGTCGCTCCCTTCAAAACGTCGCCGTGTGATCCTGCCCGCTCCAGGTGCAACGACCACGCAGGCCGGAATCGTGCCGGCGCCGCAAACAACGGCAACGGCAACGACAGCAACACACTCACACTCCGCCCACGGCCCAGACGGCTTCCCGATCGAGCCTCCGAGGAAGGGGTCCGATAGCAGTGAGGCAAGGAGCCCGAGTACCGAGTCATCCGGCGAAGCCAAGCCTCGGTCGGCTACCTCGGGGTCAAAGAGGCAGGTCATTGCCGTCGCCTGCGACAACTGTCGGCGCAGGAAAGCAAAGGTGAGAGCGCCTCATCCACCACCACCCAAGACTCAAATACTGACACTTCATCCCAGTGCGACGGCAGCAGGCCAAAATGCCAGCACTGCACCAAACGCAACGTCGAGTGCCACTATGAGGCCAACCAGGGCGAGACCGTCAGTCTTGCCCTCAAGCGCAAGGCCAACGTCCTCGAGAACGAGAACGCCCAGTACCGCGATCTCTTCCGCATGGTCTGCAGCAAGACCGAGGACGAGGCCCAGGAGATCTTCCGCCGCATCCGCGTCTCCGGGGACCCGCTCAAGGTCCTCGAGTCCATCCGCCAGGCCGAGATCCTGCTGCCCTCGCCCGCCGCCAACGAGCGCGTGAGCGATTCAAGGTTAGCCAAGCTCAACGACAAGGCCATGGAAAATAGTCTGATCCGCGTCCCCGCGAAACCCTGGACAGCCATCGCAGACGACGGGCTCGTATCTGAGCTCATTACCGACTTCTTCAGCTGGGAGAACGCCAGCGCCTTCCCCGCCGTCGACCGCGACTTATTTGTGGCGGACATGAGGGCCGGCAACGTCAAGAAGGCAAAGTACTGCTCCCCCATCCTCGTCAACGCCATATGCGCCCTGCGAAGTGTAAGTGTGCCCACTGCTCGAAATCCAGTGCCGCGGTAATTATGGCGGGACTGACGATGTGCTTTTTTAAGCCGTTTGTAGAACGAGCCAAGCAGTTTGGCGCCATTACGGGGCAAGACTTGGCCAGGCGGTTCAGAGATGAAGTCATGCAGCTAGTCGAGAAGAGCCAAGGCCGCGCGACGCTGCCGACCATTATCGCGCTTGTGCTCATTGACTGGTCAGCCAGCATTGCTGGCGATGAGCCGACGGCGAAGATGTATCGCTACATGGCGTGGGAGCGATATAAGCGCTTCAGGCCAGAGAGGAGGTTTTCTCAGCTGAAAGAGGACGATCCCCAGGAAAGGAGCGAGAGACTTGCTATATCAAAGGCAGCCTGGGCGATTTTCTTCATGGAAAGGTAGGTCGACTTTTGTCTCCCACTCTCTTGTTGGTGATCCATCTGACAATGACGAATAGCCGCATTTCGTATTTTTACCACCAAGTCTCATATATACCGCCTCCACCAATACCCAAACTATTCGACAACAATGGAGCGGATGCGCTCGAGAACAGAGGCAATCTTGACGTGCTGGGACGGCCATATTTAGGATCAACAACACAGATCCCCCTTGTTCCCGGAATAGCCACCATCAACAGCAATCTTGCGTGTCTTCAGTATGAAATCATGCAATACGTAACATCAGGAGACAACATCAAAGGCAGTGCAGAAGATCTGAAACGGAGGAAAAGTCTGTATTGCAAGCTGCAACAGTTCAGGGCGGATCTTCCGAAGCGGTTTCGCATGGAGTTCAACTTCACTCCCTCAACCGCCTTCCTCAGGTGAGCCCCTCCTGTGCCTGTCATGTTATTCAGAGCTGACCACGCACCCAGGATGCACGAGAACGAAATCGCCTACGTCCTCCTCACCTCCCTCCACCCCTCCACCAAATTCGACACCCCGTTCACAGACACGGCCACCACCGTGAAATCCCTCACACTCCAGCACTGCCTCTCCGACACCACCCTCGCCGAAGCCTACCTCCAGAAATACACCGTCAGCTCCTACACGACACGCCAGCTCTTCGTCACGATGCAGGCCCTCATCCCCTTCCTCAACGACGGCCACGCCGCCACCAACGACCTCTTCACCCGCCTCTGCATGATGGGCGGCCTCACCGCGCGCGTCGTCCGCATGACCGTCCACCTGCTGCAGGCCGCGCAGGCCATGGCGTGGGCGATGAAGCAGGACATCCCCGAGGCCGCGAAGCCGTACCTCGAGCCGTGGGTCAAGCTCGCGATCCAGGAGAGCGAGACGACGAAGCCGCCGAGCTACTCGGTGCCCGACAGGAAGGAGATTAAAGAGCTGTTGGCCGAGAGCGATAGGGCCGTCGCTGGGCCGAACGAGGGCAGCGGCGCCGAGCTCTGGGCGTTGGTGGAGAAGTGGGTTTTGAGTGGTGGCTCAAAGTGAGGCCTGGGCGCTGCACAGCGATCGCCTCGGCTGTTTTTGTTTTTGTACAGATGGCATTGGGCCCTTTTGATACAGATGTACGACCTGTGTTTTTTGTTTCTGCATTTGAGAGCCGACGAAGCATGTCAGGCATACATTGTCATTTTAGCCCGGTTTGTTCTAGCCATGTTGATTTAGTCTGCATAGCTCGGCGTTTCCATGTGGTAGAGTACAAGTACTATCACCAACTATTTATCTGCACGAATCGCGATATTGTCCTCCACTTGCATTATCACTCTGTGACCGCAGGAATAATGGATAACATGCACCGTCTGCTGATTGCGTGCCCGTCTCATCACATGACGTCACATGATAAGATGGGGAACCTCGAGCGGCCCCGCGGGCAACAGCATTCACGACGTTATCTCATCGTATACCAAACACTAACCTCAGAAAACTCACCTTGTTTATAGACAACTGATCCGTTGGGACTCGGGAACACTAACATTCTTTGCTTCTTTCCAAATCCTCACAACAATGGCCGAGTCGTCAGACTACCTCATCCTCGGCGCAGGCGTCTTCGGCGCCTCGGCCGCACTCCACCTCATCCGCGCCGAGCCCCGCGCGCGCATCACCCTCGTCGACCGCAACGCCGCCGCCGCGCCCATCCGCGTCGCCGCCTCGTGGGACTGGAACAAGGTCGTGCGCGCCGACTACGCGGACATCGAGTACATGCGGCTCGCGCTCGAGGCCAAGGAGCGCTGGGCTGCCGACCCGCTGTGGGCGCCGTTCTACCACGAGAGCGGCGCGAGCTGGGTTTCGCCGTCGGACTTTTCGCAGGTCGTAAGGGAGAATTACAAGGCGCTGGGCGTGGAGTCAGGCTTGGAGGCGCTCAGTGTGGAGCAGGCGAGGAAGGAGTTTGGAGGCGTGTTTGAGGGCGGGGATTTCACGGGGGTGAGGGAGGTGTTTGTGAATCGGAAGAGTGGATGGGGGGAGGCGAAGGAGGCGCTTGAGGCGACGATTGCGGAGGCGGTGAGGTTGGGGGTTAGGTATGTGACAGCGGAGGTTGCGAGGCTGGAGTTTGATGGCGAGGGGGCGACGACGGGGGTTGTCACGACCGAGGGGGAGAGGATCGCGGCGGGCAAGGTGGTGTTGAGCACGGGGGCGTATACGGCGCAGTTGCTGGCTGATAGCGGGAGGGCGGAGGTGCTGGCTGGGGAGAGGTTTGTGGCCGCGGCTGTGACGGAGGGGTTTGCGCCTGTGGAGGATGAGAAGCTTTACGGGGGCCCGGTTGGGATTTCGATGGTGCCGCCTGATCGGGGTGAGTAGGATATCGTGTGGGAGATGTATGTGTGACTGACGATGGTTCACGATAGGTGCGAGCAACGGCAGCGTTCCTCACTCGGGCGACAAGACGCTCAAGTTCTGGGGGCAGACCATCTTCAGGAACACGCAGCCGCACGCGAATGGGTCGCAGATTTCGCGCCCGCCGTCTGGGCCTGACTACGCCCAGCTCAACGTCCCGACGTCTCTGAGAGAGGATGTGGACTTTGCCGGAAAGAGCATCTACGGCAAGCTGAGCGACGACTGGAAGGTGGAGAACTACCGCATTTGCTGGTAATGCTTTGCTCTCCAAGCGTGATGCTGCTGAAGATTAAGATTCTAACTTTGTGTTTGTAACCAGGGAGGCCGTCTCGCCCAGCGAGGACTTCATCATCTCGCCGCACTCCGGGAGCAAGAACCTCTACGTGGCCACGATCGGCTCGTTCCACGGGTGGAAGTTTCTGCCCGTGCTCGGCAAGTATGTGGTGCAGATGCTCCAGGGGACTCTGGAGGAGAAGCTGGCCAAGAAGTGGGCGTGGGATAAGACTCTTGTTCCGCCGACTCATAGCGCGTGGCCGAGGAAGGAGCTGAGTGAGTTGAAGTAGTGGGCCTTTTTCGAACGAAGCTTGTTAGCGGTATTGTGTGAATGCTGGGTTGTTGTTGCCATTTGTGAAACTTCGGCAATTTTTGCGTGGAGACATGCTGAGAGAAACATGTGGATTTTCAACATGCTGTAGTTCTCCTCAATGGGGATTCTAGGCTGGAAGGAGACGATGCTCCGAGCCGGCAAACCCGTCCACGAGGAAGTCCTTTTGTTGGCTAGGACCTTCTCATGTGTTGTTGGGCTTCAAAACAACAACTTCACCGCGATTCAAGATACGAAGCGCCTAGAATTTAGTGCAGAGCTGTTTGACTTGCATTTCTACACGTTGGAATTCACACAAAGTCTAAACCCTCTTAGCAAAGGGTGTCTCTTATGCGAAGCAAAGTACACAAAATATCCTCCGAAAGACACTCTTCTCCCGAGTTGATATCCCAAGTCGGGCGACTTGAGTCCAGACAACACCAAATCGGGCGAAACACTCGTGGGAATTTTTGATACCCCGGCACTCAGCCCGCCACCGAAGCCAGCTAGTCGGAGACTAACGGCATAGCGCCCACACTATTACACAGCTGCACGAGTGACCTAGTGCCGGAGAAGCTAGCTACCGGGCGCCACGCCTGTCAAAAACATGCGGGCCGCTCTGCCTCAACCGTTCGAATGGCGGCCAGACCGTCCCCGGGCTCCCGTCCGCCCCGGTGGTACACATGGCAGAGTGGGTTTGGACAGAGCCTGGAATGCGGAGGAAGTGAGGTACCCCGGTCTGCTGAACTACCCATGCAATTCAGCTCCGGGATTCAGTCTCGGAGCGTGCTTTTCTCATTGCCATATCCAGTCATGAGTGTGTCCTAATTGGGTACAGCCATTACCTGTATTGGAAGACGATTCAGAGGAAGTCGGGCTTGGCGAGACCTCTGCAGCTCAGCAACTCCACTTCACAATGACTATGTGTTCTTTGCATGCTTCTGGAACCGCCGAATCGAGAATTTCACGAGAATGGATGTAAGCGAGGCATGGGGTTGAGCGAAGCGAGGTGATGGGGCTTCCTTAGCTTTCACGATGCTCAGCTGGGAGACCCTGTGTCCAAGACGGTCAGGCTTGGTGAACCTCTCTTCCTGTCAGCTGGACCATTTCCGTCCGCTTCTGGTGATATCGTATTCAAATTGGGCCCTGCTGCTTAAAGTTCATACCCGATGACAGTCTATAAAGTCAGCCCATCCCGAGGAGGATGATATTGGTCCTCACTCTCTCGACAGTCAGAACAAATAGGACCTTCCCAAGACACCAGAGACTCTACCCTTCTCCTGTCTCTCACCATAAAAAGTCTTCATCACAATGAAGTCCATTCTCCTCAACGCTCTTGTCAGCGGCATCATCGTCAGCCATGTAGCCGCCTCCCCCATGGACGAGCTTCTCGGCCGCCAGGCAACCTGCGCCCGCGACAACTGCTTCCGCGCACTCGTCGGCTCGAAGCCCGGCCCGGCCTCCGCCTCCGCAGACTGCTCCTCCTTCATGCAAGTCACCCAGACGCCCTGCCCCTCCACCGTCACCGAGACCGCGACCATCACCTCCTTCACCACCACCCTGAGCAACCCCTACCCCGGCCTCCGCAAGCTCAAGCGGGAGGAGATCGAAGCTCGCCAGGCCGTCACCACCTCCGCCTCGTCCTGCACGCCCTCGCAGAACAAGCCGAGCAGCATGCCGTCCTACATCCAGACCGCCTGCCAGTCCACCATCGGCACCCTCGTCCCAACGGCGCGCTACTCCTCCGCCTGCTCCTGCAACGGCATTACCGCCGCAACTACCACGCTCCCCGCCTCCACCGCGACCGTGACGACCACCAGCACCGTCCTCGCCGCTTACACGCCCACGAACACGCCCACACCCTTCATCCTGCAGGGCAGTGGCGACAGAAGTCTCTACGTTACCACCGACAGCGACGGCGCCCTGCGCTTAGTCCGCGACGCCTCGGTCGCCACGCCCTTCTACGTCGACAACGCCGGCCTTCTGCGCAACTACAACAGCCCGTCCAAGCTGCTCATGGACTTCTACCTCCCGGACCCCGCGACGGCCAACGATAGGGTGCTCAGCGCCGAGCAGGGCGCCGGAGGGTACCCCATCACATGCACCTACACCGGCCGCACGAACGGTGCTTACTACGGCAACTGCCAGTCGAGTGGTTCGCCTAGCGGAAACCCCGTCACCTACGGCTTTGGGTACTGCCCGAACCAGGGCGGGTTTGTGTACATGATCCCGAACAACTCCAATGTGCGCTGCGCTGGGGGTTATGCTTTCCTTGGATTTTGGTTGCAGACGTACGGTGGTAACTGAGCGGGTATTGAAGCATGGATGATGCCATTGATAGTTAAGCTTGATGTCAGCTTTTACCACACGTTTTGTTCTTATGTTTGTTGCCTAGCTTTAATCAGTAATATGATTTGAATTTATTGTAATGCAATGATAGGCCATTTCGCAGAATAAATACATGCACCCTATTGCAAAGGTTGAGCCGGCTTCTGGCCATAAACAACATGACTATATCAAAATCAGCAACGTCCTCAAGAATCATCACCAAAACAACTTACATATCAAACATCGCATGGAACGAGTTACTCTTCAGCTCCTTGCGCACAAGCGCCAGCTGCACCGCAATCTCCGTCTGCGTCTTGCCCAGCATCTCCGAGAACAGCTTCACGGACAGCGCCTCCAGCCCGTTGAGCGTCAGGATCAGGTTCATCATGCCGAGCTCGCTGTACCACTTGTCCTTGGGCCACGGGCCGAGCGGCGCGCGGATGCGGTCCGCGACGACGTTGGCGAACTGCGCGTCGCGCACCCAGCCCTCGAGCTTCGGCCCGACGCTGGGGTCGCGCCCCGTCGCGGAGCAGGCCTCCATGAAGCCGTTCATCCACTTGGCCGTCGCGGTTTCCGAGGAGTAGGTGTCGTCTTGGGAGTAGAAGGTGGTGTTGACGTCTTGGAACTCAGCCCATCCGCCCGGGGCAAGGTTGCTGATGTTGTTATTAGTTTTTTGTTCCCGCTGTTATGAGATGGATAGGTGGGAGTGTTACTCACTCGTAAATGTTCTTCATTAAATTGGGCCAGTCTTTGATCGAGGCGCCCATGTACCGGCAGAAGATGAAGTCGTACTTCTTGTGGCCGACCCAGGACTCCTCGATGTCGTCGATCTCGAACTTGACATTTGGGGGGTGCCATTCAGGCGTTATAGCGCTCAAATCAATGCCAAGAACCTGCCATTTCTTGAGTCTCGTGTTCTCGTCGGTGGGTGAGGAACGGGTGTGAATTACCTCGGCATTCTCGAAAATGTCTCCCATCTCAACAGCCCCTGACGGATTGCACGATGAGCGTATGTACCCTCTCAGGCGGAGACGAGTGTGCACTTAGACTTACAGATTCCAGTGCCGGTTCCGATGTCGAGGATACGATGAACCTTTTCCTTCTTGAGCGGGGCGCGGAAGAGAACGCTGCCCATCGCCTTGACCATCATCGCGTGCGCGAGATCAAGTCTGTCCATTTCGAACTACAGGCTCAGAAATCAGCGACATATCCGCACCATTTCCCTCTTTGGTGAAAGTCATACCTCATCGTTAGGGAATTTGTAAGCTAACCACATGAAATGTCAGCAAACTCCCATCTGTACGGTGCTTCAACTAGCAGCGAAGCAACAGACATAAGTGTACATACATCCGGGACGATACGCATGGTAGCGGCGACCATACTCAATGGGATAGTCGACGACGCTGGACGTGAGCGAAGCAGTATAGGATGAGCTGACAGATTTAGCATCATGGGAAGGCGATCGGGAGTGAGGAAAAAGGTTTCGCACATTCTCTCGTCCATTGACGATGTATCATCCGTGGCCTGGTGTTGTCAGCAATGTACTATTCCCAAAGCGCCGGTAACGACGGAGTCGTAGCGGGACTGACGTATGCCTCGTCGGCGATCTCGACCGCTTCCGCCGGCTCTGGTCGCGGCGCCGGCGGGGCTGCGGCGGCTGCAGGCGCAGGCGCAGGTGCAGGTGCGGCGACCTGTCCCGTCTCAGACTCCTCAGCCATTTTTCACAAAAAAAGATCAAATGTAACTATCACGATGATTCTCCAAATCGTGTCGTCTGTGCCGGGCGCGCGGGTTGTCGGAGTTGAGTGTCCTTTCTCGACAGATTAGCGGCGGGGTGGGATTCGTAGCAAACACCACCCCATTCTTTTTTTCTCGCGCCTCAGCAAGGATCCTCGCTGAAGACTCTGGTTCTGCAACGTCCGGAACCCATGGAGGACCTCGAGTTCTGGATTCGCTCTTTTGTCGCTAGCAGCGTCGTATTCTCCGTCCCTACATGTCGTGAACCAATCGTCTCTGCGCGCTTCGTCGCTCCGGCCGAGGGAAGTGGGGTTCCAGAGGAGCCATCGCGCGTTATCATTCAAGTCTCCCGGGTACCGTCGTGCTCCGCCTTCCCTAGATGGGCAGGCCCCGAGGTAACCCTTGATGTTGCAGTGTTGGAGAATTTAGTTGTGGTGAGGTCTTGAATTTCGCTGGCAATGCATAGATATCCATAGAGTCAAAGTTTCTGCACACTTTTGGTCCTTAAAACGGCTACAATGAACGACTAGTAAGCGGAATCCAGTGGCGAATAAATGCAATTGGTGGCGTTCTTCTATCAACTGAGATACCAGAAGAAAGTAATAAAACCAGAATAATTGGCATCCAGGACGTTCTTTCATCAAACGTCCCAACTCAACTAACGCAATGAGCCTCACGGGCACGAATGCCATGGAGCGGATGTTACTTGCAGCGTTGCAGCATGCTTATGAGTGGATCTCGCAACCTATTGCTGGTCGACTGTGTTCAAATCCAGTTCATAAGAAGAGTTTGCAGTAGATGTGTCCCCTGTTTCTGAGTGGACCACTTGGGCGAATTCCGGTGCAGCCTGTCGTTGGGGGAAGATCGAATGTGTACTCAAGGCGATGCTATTGCGACGCGAGAGGCTTGCTGACATTGCCGGCGTGTGTAAAGACGTCCCTGACCGTGGTGTTGCTGCTTTAGACGCCGCCTTGGATGCCGCCTTCAAAAGTCGGTTTTTCTGTCGCTTCGCCTTATCACCCTTTTTGTCAAATTCGATCACTTGCTCGTTGCTCGCTCCATCTTGCACCGCTTGATTCTTGACGTCTTGCACGCTCTCTGCGTCCCAGAGGTTGTCAGCAATGCCGTGCTATGAGCATGTGTGGACACTTGGATAGCGACCAACCTCGACTGATGATATGTCTCATGATAGGAAGAGAAGCTTCCGAGAAGTGCTGCTGCGCCATTTCGCCAAATACCCACTTGCTCCCCAGGACAACATCAAATGGCAACGAGCCGTCGTGAACAAGAAAGCTTGTAGTTGAGGTTTTGGCCTGGTTTTCAGAGAACCAAGTGACTGAGGCGCGGCCGACAGGCTTGAATGGTAAGGGATCCTTGCTTGCACCGATGAAGTAGCCAAGATCGCCAGCTAACTCTAATTTGACACCAGCTTTCTCCAGAATAACCAGGCTGATCCAGTTAGGTCGACTCCCAGTGTCGATTTTGACCTGTGATACCACGGCTCCGGAATCCTGGACTGGAATGACAAAGGGGAATGTCATGTGATCTTTGTTAAACCTGGCACGGCTTCCCAGAGATATACGCAGGAGCCTTCGTAATTCTTCGAGTTTTCGCTCTTTCTGTTCTGATGACCACTCTGGGTGGTCCTCAGAAATCCTCTTCTCCGCCTCCGAGAGTTCTTCCTCTGCGCTTCTACCCTCACCGATTCTTTGCTCCATGGATCGAATAATTTCCAACATTTTATTATTCTCCGTGGCAGACTGGCCTGATAGCTCAAAGAGTGCTCGCAGCTGATCATCCATTTGTCTTAGAGTCATCCTGTCTGATAGTTAGCATCCTTATCAAATTTCCCTCTTCGATCTCTCCATGCACTCACTTTTGGTCCAAATTATGTAAACGTTGCTCTAATATCTCAAGCGTATGCGCAATCTCGCGAAGTGCCGCCACATCTTTGGATTCACTCGTAATGACCCAGAATTTGTCATCCTCGAGTTTCTGTTGAAACTGGGTGATGATAGGGATGATGTCGGTGATGTTTTGGAACTCTTTGATGATAAAATTTCCGATCTCATCATCAAGACGCTCCCTTAGAGGGCTACTCCTGTGATAAAAAGACTGGAGCATACCCATGGACGATTCAATTCTTCGCAAGACAGCTCCTGTCGGCGAACTTGATAGCTTGCGATGTTTGTCCACTTTCCGGATCGACGCTGTCGCCTGTGTGACCGTGCTTATGACACCTACTAGAAGGCCGGTGACGGAAACTGGATCCATAGTTCTGACTGCGTGATCTAACTTTCTGACGGTTTGTTTTTTGCCGCGTCAGCAGATGTTGTCGACCGCAGCAGCCTCGCCAGCGAAGTGAACATCATACGCCCGCATTTCAGGTACGCATGCATTAAGACCTAAAGGCACGTGATGCCTCTGCTCATCTGCTGTGTAACATGACCCATGTACCAACAAAACATTGTTCCTTCGAAGTCGCGCCCAGTGTCCCTCGACACCTTCCATCTATGAATGCGGTTCCATTCAACGAGCGTTGTGCAGCTGCAATGCAGAATTCGACGAAATATTCCAAAGGTCTACTCCATACCACCATTTGCGATCACTGAAACACTGCTGAGACTGCCATGCAGACATTATTTTAACTCGTTGAAGAGTGACAACTATGGCGTATTCGGCGGGAAACTCAGACGATGGATATGGAAGACTGGCTCAGCTCCTTGCGCAGTCTCACGAATATGCCATATTTCGCAAGTTTGAGTGGCTTAACATGATGAATCTTCTCCGACTTCAGGCGGAACTCCAGCATATGGAACAGCAGCTAGTGGAGGTGAGAGCAGAAGATAAGGACCCTGATGACGACTCAGAAGTTCGGAGGTCCTACGGCATTAATTTCAAGGCCATGAGGGACAATGCCGAGGACGGAGATTCGGAACAATATGACTTGCTTTTGGAAATCAGTCCAAAGTTAGACGAATACAGTAAGACAGTCGTCGTTCTCGTCCCTCCAGTGATACTGTCAATGTTTGTTGCTGATTTCGTCCAGACAAAGCACTGCAAAACATCGCATTCTTGCACAAGACTGTTCAACCGTCTGAGGCTGAAGTAGAATTCCTCAAACTCTGGCTCCAGCGAGATAAGATGGGAGAGGGGTTTCTTCGACGTTCTGGCATTGAAGCAAAGGTTTGGGATGATCAGAACGCGGAAGATCTTCTGTCTGTTGGGGGTTCCCCATCAGATAGATTCACGAACTTCATGCACGGTCCAGTCATTGATTTCTACCATTTCGTCATCGGGAGATTTACCAAGGGAAGACTCTAGCTTCCACGATTCAGTGCCATCAGGCTAACATTCAAATAGTCTCAGACCAAGGTTGTACAAGATGGCATCAGGACATATGACCAAAGAAAGCTCAAGAGAGCTGGCGACATTCTTGTAGCAGCTCTATCGGCGGCTCTCCCAACACTTGTGATATTGGTTCTGTATTTTGTAAAGAATATGGTATATCGCATGGGGCTTGTGATCGTTTTTACCACCATATTTTCGGTGGCGTTTGCGATGTTCACAGGAGCGAAGAAAGCGGAAGTGTTTGCTGCAACTGCAACGTTTGCAGCTGTCGAGGTGGTCTACATTGGAAGTGTTTCCTCCAGCGACCCAGTCTGTGTCTGTTCTTCTGGTTGATGGATTGTTGTCATGGCACCAATGTCTTCATTTGACGCGTCCTTCATCTTCACTGCCCAGTTTCCTTCCGTTGCGAACTCACAAAATGTAATTTCCCTACCGAATGCAGCGGCTTTGGCAATATTCCCAGTCATTATCGTTTCAGCGCCACGACACTAATCTGGGTAATAATAAGCACATTTTACTACATACGTCAAGTCTGTCTAAATGAATTCGACAAATGTAGCTCGGCAGAGACCACCGCGCTAGACATGGTGGATAACCCCAATCGTAAGATAGACTCGTAAGAGATACATCAATGATCTGCTTGAACATATGTGGTGGCCTCACTGAGTAGACGTCAATCGAAGGGACAGGCCGTGACCAGCAATTGTGGTTCTTAGCTGAGTGTGTAGGGTTATTGGTGTGACTTTTGTCAACAAGAGGATGAAACTAACGTAAATATATTACTGTTACGAAGAATATTGGATGTCTTGAGGCGGATTGATCGTTGAGGCTGTTAGTCACTAACGACAAGGCCTCAACCCAGGGGCGTACCCAATTCTGAAATCTCTACACTCTTGTCCTTCCAACACTCCTTGCTAGGGATTAAGACAATCCCATCATACGGCTCAGGGTCCGCCAAAGAAAAAAATCCAGTCGTGGACGTCACGAAGCGCCCTCCAGCACACAGAACTCCAATAACGCCCTGAGCACAGCATGGCGGGAAACCACTCGACAGGTCCCTTCACTCTCAGAAGGACATCACCCTCATCCAAAGTCCAGTCATAATGAATGTTGCAGCTGGCACACCGAACACCATGCGACGCCGTGCTAGCCATGAACATTCCAACAGCAGCCTCGTCCTTGGACAGCACCTGCAGGCAAGCGCAGCAGTCGGTTCTTTGACGTGGGCGCGGGTGCCCGTAGCACCGCTGCACTGCACCCGTCGACTCGCGGAAGCACACGCAACGTCGTCTGCAGAACGGCTTCATCAGGATCTCCTGTGGCGACCGAGTGTGCGGACACAGCAAGCTGTCGATCCTCCTCAGGCCCTGTCGGAGCAGGTCCATGGTTACGACTTGTCCCTCTGTCAAAGTCGCGACCTTGATCGTCCAATCGTTGTTGATCGTCCAATCGCTGTTCACCGGCGGCCATCTCTGATACATCTTCGGCGGTTCCTCTCCTCCTCTGATCCCCAAGACGTCCCAGCACTCGTCGCTTCGAAAGACGACCTGACGCGCATCGCCACGGTGGGAAATGCCTGGCAGGCGACAGGCCTCGGAGACTATCGATACGTGGCGGTGCGGACAGGTCTGGTCAGATCGCAAAAGTTTGATGATATTCGATCTGTGTCCAAGGAGCGCATGATGATGGAAACCAAGGGGGGCTCCAGGTACGATGTTATCTTGCTTGTCTCTGAGCACGTAATGAAAATATCTGAAGGAGAAGTCGTTGAAAAAAGACCGCGTCAGAGAACATGCCTGCCGTGCCATATACATGCTAGGCGCATCCAGGCATTTCATGACATAGAGAAGAATCTCGGGTGGTAGTTGATAGATGATGGAGTTTTCCTTGTTTTCGTCCCATTTAGCCTTGTAGATTGTGCTGTATCCGGTGCAGAAACACCCCTCTTCCGGAGACGGAGTGTGTTTGCGGTATCTGACAATCGCGTGTCCAGGTTCAGACGGCGCCATGGTGGGATAATGATAGAAGTTGACAGGGAATATTGACAAGAAATAATGAGGCAACGAGTGTGAATGGGAATGAAGTGGGTATTGAATATTAGCTCGAACTCAGAGAGGTGTCTGAAAACTCTACGGGCGGATAGGGACAACGACGACGGGGCACGACAACGAGGACAACGAGGACGACGACAAGGACGACGACGAGGACGACGACGAGGATAACGACAGCGAAAACAACAGTAGTAACAATAACAATACTAATGGCGACGATGACAGAGGTAATTAAAGAAATAGAAGTAGAGATTTTAGAAGATACGACTGTTAGAATGATTAGTCGATAGGTACCGAGTGCCCGCCCAGATAGCAACACTCAACTTTGCATCCAGTCTACAGTGACACTCAGCCATTGAATTGAACCATGAAATCCACGGAATTGATTGGCATTTTTCATGATGCAGGTCCCGAGATGGTGGATAAATCGCGCCTTGGCATAGTATAATTAGATGAGCGAGTTTGGGGACTTAGTCGATGATCTGGCCTGGCTGTAAAAGGCTGTAGGCGTCTCTTGTCATTATCAGATGCTCTCCACTTGTTGTACAAGAGAGGTGCTCAAGGAAGCCTTTGTCGAATTATTTTGAACTAGGTGGGGTATTATTGATAAAGCTAACTCCCGAATTTGAATGCACTTTTATAGCCCACCGGTCCGAAGATATGAGCGACCAGTGAGGTTCTCAGGTATCGGTAAGCCTGCCGGCGACCTCCTGAGCCTCCCCGCAGAAACCATAAGGTTAGCTCCGCAAGGTCCCCCAAAACGAAAAGGTTTGTCGCCGTCATGCGAATAAGAAACTATGATCAAGAAACACATGTCCACGATTCCCTGTGCATAAGTAACTTGTTGGCTTGAGCTACCGCAGCATTTCTCGGCAGAGCTTCAGTCGGTCGCTAGCTTCCCGCAGCAACTCCGAATGGGACTGCTCGAGGCTCGTCTTCAACAAGTCGAGGAGTTCTGGCAGTCTCTCATTCAGGTCCATCGCTGATTCATCGTTCAACTCGTCCAGGGTGGCAAAGTGGGCTAGGTACCTGGCGATCTCGCTGTACCGTCCAGGTGGGGCATTCTTATTTGGGATGCCAAGTGCTTGAACAAACGACCAGATGGTCAGCGCTGCGTAGTACATGATCCACGGCCGATGTGGATCGGGTTCTGTGCGGCATGAATAGAACACTGAAACCGGCTCAGGAAGTGAACCGAAACTACTTGTTCGTCGTTTGGGTCCTCTTTGGTCCACAAGGACGCGATAGAGAAGTTTGAAAGAATGGAGAACGGCCTGTCGTGTTGAGGCTGCGTTGGACCAGGTCCTCATCCGCGCAACGGCATTGGAGTGATCCCGTGTGGAAACCTTACGTCCAACCAAACGCTTGGCGCCGGCATATACCTGGCAGTCGACAATGTCAACGTGAAGGCTGATGTATGCTAAGTGATAGAGTGCAGCGGCTGAGTGAATCGGACCATTGGGGCTCGATGGTTGACCTGGTGCATCAGGTGTGTCGTTCGCACCGACGGCCTTGTCGAAGCTCTCCTTCCATTCGTCAAAAGCCCGCAGCAAGATCTTCTTCCAGCCGTCGTGCGTCTCAGTGCTCGGTGTGCGCAGGTCAAGCCACTTGAGGTGAGATTCTCGATGGGACAGATGCCACCCAACACTCAGCAGGCCTGACATGATGATCATCCGTCCGAAGGTGTGTGTTTTTACCTCTTGGCCGTGGAGAGCGCTCTTCAGTCCGTCAAGAAAGGAAACCTGCTTAATGCCGTACATGCGGTAGTTGCCATCGAGCTGGCGGAAGACGTCAGGAGTGGCAGCTGTCCAAAGAGCATCGTCACAAGGCAGCGGAAGTCGGATCTCATGAGGCGCCATGTCCGCTGTATGCCCAAACATGGCTGCGTGGATGATGTCCAGCATGAAGGCAGCAAATACGACGCGATGCATCGCTTCCGACTCAGCCCATCGTACCCACCACGTCCTAGAGTCCAATGATGCTGTATCATTCGAGGTGGGGGCTTGTTCTTCTGGCGGGGATTCACTCCCCGCTCTTCCAATAAGAGGGCTACCTCTTCTCAAGAGGGTCAAGGTGGCGGAGTGATAGATGTGGGCTCGCTCATGGAATCGCCTTGACGAGAACATCTTCTCGTAGAACTCCAGGAGTAGTAGTGACTGTGCAATTGCCAGACCGACCGGCGGTGATGCCTCTTCAGCTGTGAGGATCTCCCAACGAACACTGGAGATAACGACATCAGCAAAGCCGCCGTATTGCTCCAGGTTTCCTGTCGAGTCTCTGCTGCTCAAAGACGCCGCTCCTAGCGCAATCATGACCATTAGTAGGAAGATGGAACATCGATTTGCTGCGAATGTCGGTTGATGGACAATGGGTAGCCTTGGTGAAACGTTCTTCCAGTACTCCTGTAAACAGTCGCGCATCATGTCGAGGTTCAGTGCGGGCAGATCTCCACCACTTTCTTGCACCAAGTTGATGATGCGATGCTCGTATTTCGGTTGTTTCTGACGAAAGACCTGCAGCCATCTCAAGACTTCCTGGCGTCGGTGTTCACCAATGAGTTCATCGCTGACATCGACTTGCCTTGGCGGTGTCGGGTCTAGTTGTGAACGGCTGGTCAAAGACTCATAGTCATAGTGAATATTGTTGTTGAAGGTCGATTCCAAGCCTCCCTCGAGGAAAGGGAGGTTTGCGACGCCATTGAAATCGCTGAAACTTGCTTGAGGGTCGAACAACCAGACGGCAAAGTTCTCTCGGGATAGTGCTTCATCCGATTGAAAGTCCATTGCATTGAAAGACGGCATTATCGATGATTCTGCGGGTATCGGCGGCTGGTCCCGGCCGAATAGATCGGATTTCGGGCGCATCATGTTGACGGAGATATCGTCTATTGAGGGCCATGTTGATGGTTGGCCAACTCTGGCTGTTAATGATGCATTAGGTGCGCCCGTTGTAGGCGTTGGGGTGGCGTTAGAGTCGGGAGTCAGCAGGATGGCCGCATCGTGCGGACCGGCCGACGACGATGGCTGTACTGGCTGAGGGAATACCGGTCGGGCGGGAACAGCAGCCGTTGGCGACGACACAGCGACGCCAGGCAGGCCGTTAGAGGCGGCGGAAGTGCTGAAACTTGGTGCACGATTACGGGGGATATATGAAGATGAATGTCGCTTCTTGTGTCGGCTCAACAAGTCAGCTCGAACGAACTTTTGGTCGCATCCCGGCACGTCGCAAATGAAGATCTCTTTAGGGTTGTCTGCGAGTCGCGTCAATTGACTTGTCCTTGGCACATCTAAGACGCGCAGGGTGAGACCGCGCATCGAGTTCAAAGCTTCTTACGGTTCAGTTGATGTCTCTGCAGATGCTCCGCCCTTGAGTACAACTTCTCGCACCCCGGATGGTCGCACACGAATCGTCGAGGTGCGCCCTTTCGGCTGGCGCGTTTGTAGTTGCCAGCAACGCCATGCTGGGTTGGAGAAGGGTGGCTCGCCATGAACGGTGGCTATGGGGACATGGTCGGTTGCAGGGGATTGCTCGTCGTGGCTGAGGCAGCCTTCGCTTGGGAATTGTCGTCGTATCAATGCGCAAGCAACGTCGGACACGGTGGAGTCGGCATCGGTGAGGACACGGTGAGGTGCGCCGCCAGTTGAAGTTGTGTCGATGGAAATCGTAGAAATTGGGGACGAGGTGAGATGAGATTGGCAAAGTTCCGCCTCAGGCGGCTGGGTCAACGCGGGGAATGGGCGAGCTCCCCCAAAGAGTGCCCCCCCTTCCCCACACATCTCGGCCGTCCTTTCCCTGAAAGAATGATGGGGGAGACACGAAATCGGCCAACTGGAACGAGGAAAGTGGACCCCCACGCGTCGCTCCTGCAGCAAAAATGACAGTGCCGCACGGTCCATTGGCGTTTTCAACTGTGCGGGGGATTCTTCTGTCACTCACTATTCTCCCATCTCACTCACTCACTCACTCTCACTCCCACTCCAGATGCAACTCATCCGTTTAACCGCCAAAGCCATACTGTTACAGTTTGACGCAGCTCTTTCATAATGTGACAGACTCGATGAAGCCCAAAACCCCAATTCCGTTTAGCTATAATAACAGTATATTTACACATTCCTCAGTCGACCAGCGATCCTCTTCAACGCAGTATCCTCCTTTTCGGCTTTTTGGAAATCACGCCGATGAGCCTCGGCGGTAGGCCCGACAATTTCCAACAACCGAATATACGGCATCCCAAGCCGTCCACCCGACACTCCGGTCTTGCGATCATACCGCCCGTTTCGCACCGCAATGTTGTCGTCCGTGTACGCCGCCAACTCCTCCGGCACCCCGTCATCCCTAGTCTGATGTTCCAACACCTTGATCAAGTCGACCAGTACGGCTTTCGCCGGCAGTTTCATATCAAAAATCTCCAGCGCCCTCGTCGTGTGCCGGATGTCATGCGTCACAACACACATGGCCGCATAATCCGCCGACAGCTCATCAATAATCCCCTGCGCCTTCTTCATCGCATCGTCGCTATACAGCTCAAAGGTCTGGTTCGAGTCCACCCGCATATACCACGGCTCTGGTCGCAATTTCTTGTTGCACTTGGTCCCTTCCAGCATCCGGATTGTTCGTCGACAGTGTTGTCGCATAGGCTTCTTGTCATCACCGACCGATGATGGCCAGGTGGGCTTGTCGGCTGGTGACATAGTATCCAGCTGGAGTGATGGCATGAGCGTGTATTGACGACATTTGTATTCTTCCGAAAAGTTAAAGGTAAGAAACACCACCTGTTCGCCGCTCCAGCAGTCGGCCATTTTGGCATTTTCGACGGCACACTCTTCGTGACGCCGTAACTGAGGCTCCGAGAGAAAACGGGGTTTGAAATTCGCCATGGCTCCAAACTAAGTAATTAATCTCTGTAATTCGTTGATGCACAAGGCAAACAGAGAGAAACTGTCATTAGACTTTTGTACAAATCCGGGCATTAATGATGTCCCGCCATCTCACCAAGCAAGCTGCCTTGCGAGGAGGTTCAAGCCCGTGCCCGGTGACTCACACCGAGCCGTCGGGTGTGTGCATCGAATCGCCACGTTCAGCTATCCAAAGAGAAGCAGCTTTATGAGCATACTTTAAGCTTACCATTTAATTCGTTTAGCGGTACTCCGTCATTTAAAGTTTGGGGTTCGGGATTCCGCATGTCGTAGTCAGCGGCACCTCCGCCACAAATGACGCTAGGATCAATTGGAACGATGACAGATACAAGAGGGACGTGTTATTGATCGGGACGGCAAAAGGGAAAAACAGACATAGCCCGGCGACGTGCGTAGAAACACATGCTCGAATAGTGCGAGTGTGGAGTTTTGAAGAGCACACCGTACACGTCAGCATAGGTTGCGCGGCACAATGTCTCTGAAATAGTCGATTGTTCTAAGTTCTAAATACTGCGACGAGGTATTGCTTCCAGCCTCAATGCGGCAGTCCTGAGCACGAGCTTAAGTCAGTTCAAGTAAGGCAAACAGGAAGCACAACACTTACCATAGGAAATGATATGCTCTCAAGGCAAAAGACATGTGCAACCGCTGGAAATGTTGATGCAGCTAGGTTCTCCGGGCTGCTTCCTGCAGTTAACGCTGCCGCAGAAGTCTCCGCTGCACGACGCCGCGTACGCTGCGGCGGCGTAAGCCAGAAGGGTAATAGCGATGGATTTGACGTGCATGTTGATCTTCGTGAAACGGAAGAAGGTTAACGATAGTTTTTAAATAATCAAACTTTGGGTGGAAAGCGATAGAATAATGAGATGAAAATGAGATGAAAAATTTGAGTCACTGAGGTTCTTTTGCTTTGCCTTTTATCGTCGCCTCCAAATGCTCTGATGTGCCCTTGACGGAGCTGTCCGCAGTCTTCCGGCGGGCCATTGTACCAACCCACCGGCGACTTTACGATGGTCCGAAACTAGGTAGATCTACAACTTAATAGCAACCTGAAACTGTTCATCCGGAGTCCAGACGGACTCCAGACGGCTTAAAAGCTTATTACACCAATCAGCCTTCGCCGTACGACCCTAGGCCGGGTAAATTACAAAACGACCCAGGCTTGGAGCATGAGTCGCAACACATAGACGTACCTATGGTCAGTAAGAGGCGGGTCAGAAACTACGAGTCACGATACGTTGCACTAGTGAGAGACATGCACTAAATAGCGTACGAAGCCACGTGAAACTCAGTCGCACTGTCAGTTGATACAAATGATTTAAGCTAGTTCGGTATGAAATTACCAGATCCGTTCAAAGGAGCCCGCTCGCGGTTACTTCGGGCCTCTCGGAAAGACCCAAATGACTCTCGTCTACATCTAGGCGTTCACTTGAATTCGATTGATTAATTGTCCTCTGATTCGTCTCCTGACGACGAATAACTGTCTTCTGATTTGTCTCCTGACCACGGATAATTGTCGTCTTCTTCCCATCTATGAGACTGGTCACCGCCCCAGATTTCATACTCATATCTATACTCAAATCGATGTTCGTATGATATTTCAAACTTTTGCTTCTGAGAGCGATCTGCAGCGTAAGAACGTTCGCTGAAGAAAGCCGCCTCCTCTCGAGCCGGTGGCAGAGCTTGTATTACATCGCCAGGGGCAAGGTCTGTACTGCGGAACTCTGTTGTGAGACCTCGCGACGTGTGTTGTCTGGCCGTGATGTCCCATTCGTTCTCGATAATCTCCGATATATCAAACTCCCGGTTCATACTCCACGCAGCATGAGCTTTCTTGTTGTCGACGGTGTAGCAAAAGTGGCCCGCATTCCGTGCTCCTGCATCTTGTCCTCTAAACCAAAGTTCAAATTGCTTGATCTCGGGCATTCCTCGAGCGACTTTAGCCAGATTCATCATCATGTCGGCATGATCTTCCACGGCTAGTCCTAGACCAAAGAAGGTCATCGACAGATGTTGAAGAAATGGCCACCTTAACAAGACCAATCGTGGACCTTTGAGAAGACTTGCGTCTATAGCTTTTGAGCAACGAAAGGTCCTGAGTTGATGCCTGGCGCTGAGAAGAGATGTTCTGAAAACTGTCGACGGACGATACCAGTATCCTTGCTCGTCCATGTCACGAACGGTGAGTGATTCTACGGCAGGCGGCAGGAAGTCCCAGCGCTCGTATTGTATCGAGCGGTTGCGACCAATCCGCTCTTGGTACCCGTACGATATCTCTTTCAAGTGATCTGATCCTTTCATGGCCGAGCATAGATATGACAAGAGTCCTCGATAGGAACAACACCGACATCTGTCGCAGTTGAATTCCAGATGTCGGATAGAACGGACGCAGTGAACTGTCTGTGGGTTGCCCTGAGCGAGTTTACTTCCCAGATGATTCAGATGATGGCCGCATGACTGCTCCTCGTGGATGTCCAGGTCGAACGATGCGTCGCGCCCCCAACCGGCCATTGTGTCGAAGAAACCGTCCATCACATCGGCGAAGTCAGCCCCCAGTCTCATCCGCCGCCGTGGGTAATCGACAATAGTCGTGAAGCTCGATAGATCCACGTCTATCACAAGGCGTAGCTTCTTCAAACATAGCAGTCGCGAGCCTCGAATGTTGTTGGCCAGGGTGTCAGGGGTGATGGCGCCGGACAGAATGCTGGCGTTCGTCAGACGGAAGGTCACCTCGGCAAACATATAGGGCTCGAGAATCTGGTTCCATAGTTTGCAGACTGCCGCAAGTGGAGCTAACGGGGAGCCATCCTTCTGGACTACCACATACTCAAGAATCTGCGTGGCTAACTCGCGGGGTAGGTCGTCCCCTGTTACCCTGGTTTCTGATAGCTGCCTAGAATCCTTTGAGTTTTGCGGTTCGGAATGAGCCAAACCTGCCGTATGAGGGCTATGGCTTCCGCTAAGAGACATGCCGACTTCAGCATCATGCTTCTGGGCGGTGACAGTGGGGTTGGAAAGGTTTGTGATGTAGCTCAGTGACGATGATAGGCACATCTTGGTGTTAAAGTAACGGAATGATTGGTTGTCATGGTATAGAAAAACTCCAAAGGCAGCTGGCAGCCCTTTATATCCTCCATAGCATAGCTATAGAGGTTTCTACGTGCTCCATCCTGGTCCTCGTGTATGTCTCCGCCAGCTTCATACAGGTTAAAGTGACAGAATACACGCACAGACCCAAAGAGCACAAATGTCCGCCAGATTTCAAAACTTTGTTATCGAGAAAAAATGGTCCACAGAGGTGATCTCTTTATCCATTTCGAAGAAAGAAAACGAACCCGAACGCTGCTCGATGACTTCGGTTCTTCTTCCTTTTCTCAACACCGTGCAAGTTGATCAAATCTCGTTTCGGACAATCTTTATCCCAACCAGCAATGGCGCACACCGAAACCAACACAGGCCTGCGCCAGGCTCGCTACCAAATAACAAACAGAACAAGCAACGATAACTCAGCCATTCTACAACTACCCGTGGAGCTCGTGCTGCAGATAATCGAACACCTCGGGATAATCGATAAGGCGGTTCTGTCAAGAACTTGCGCTTCGTTCCGGAACTTTCTCGATACGGACTGGGCACCTATATCCCGCGAATGGTGGGAATACGAGAAGGTCTGGTTAAGAATCGTCCACGATATGCCAAACCACTGGTTCTGCTACTCTTGCCACAAGATAGAACCCATCAACCGAAGATATGTGCCACATAAACAATGGACACCATCTTGTCAAAGAAACAATCGTAGGGCTAGCCTCAGGGCACTCGATCCGTATCAGATGCGCTCGGAGCATGCGCACATGGCCTTGAAGCTTTCTCGCCTCGGAAACATCAACGATGGATACCTCAAGAAGATTATGGCATCGTTCAGCATATATCGCCGCGCCCTGAAGGGCAATTGTCTCCGGCACTACCGCGCCGTGCCAAAGATCGTCGATGGAAATTTTCTTCTGCAGAAGCAATGGACATTCCAGAGCATCTTCGATAGCCGCGGTTGCAAGTATTCCTGGAACGAGGAAATGTTTGCCATCAACAAGCAACTGGAGGGAATTCCGCTCGTCTGCCCACACTTGGGCATTGCGCACAGTTTGAATGAGAAACATTATCTCGACTGGGAAAGACCAAACAAATTATGGGAGCCCGAATTTGAGGCCGACTTCCGGTCTGCTATCGAATATGTCGGGCACGGCTTCAGCAACAGTTGCTATAAGTGCGCAGTGGAGTACACAATATGGTGTCCTGATCAGTATACGGTAGTTATTCGCTCTTGGTACGTTGAGGATAACCTGTGGTTAGAAGACCGGAATCATTGCAGATATGGGAAGCCCTCCATCAGGAGTATATACAGCAAATAACGTGGATCTTCCACTTCAAAATATGAAACTACGTACTATAACGTTGATAACGATGCTCTGTTGGGCCTGGATGTAAACTCACCTTACTCGATTGTCACATCCAGTTTAAGTGTCTCGTGAGGAATTTTGATATTTTGAGGACTGTTGCCATACTTTGTCCAACCGTAGGAGGAAACAGCAAAACTTAGGCTGCGCGTCTACTGCGACTAATCAAATGAGCACAGAAGATGCATTACCAACACATTGCAGTCTCAATGAGGACAAGATAGCTACCTGCGCTAATCACTGAATCTCTGAAAGCTTACCGCCGATCTCGAATTCGTCAACCTGAATCCCAAGGCCAACCACTCTAGGCTCTGCTCGGCTGTGATGTTCACAACCAGAACAATTGCCTGTGGGTCTATTCAACCTGGAGCGTATACATCAAAGTTTCCGCCACATTATCCAACCAAAGACGCATAGGTGGATAGCCTATTGGTTCTCAAGGTTGGTGCTGTCTCACACAAATGCTTCCAACTTTTGCACTGTAGGCCTGCAAATATGTAATAAACTCTATTCCGCAATCGGAGATTGATCGCAGAGATTGCTCTATATGTGTGATAGATTCCATTTTCTTTACGAATCCTAGTTGAAGCAGGTTGACAAGTTACCAAACACCAGCTGAGATCCACGCCCATCATGGTAAATATCGACGACACGACAGCCCCCAGTGGGTTCGATCTCAGCAACACTCGTTCTCTTCAGACAGTCGCACGAGCTCATCTCCTTCGACTACCCTCAGAGCTCCTTCTGGACATCATCGGCTACCTTGATATTGTCACTGTGGTGATCCTCTCAAGGACCTGCGCCCGCTTTCGAGCTCTCGCTCACAGGGACTGGAAACAATTCCTTCGCCAACTTCTTTTCGTAAAAAAGCTCGTATTCTGGGGCAAGATTGCATTCGACTCGCCCAACCATTCAGTGTGCCAAAATTGCCATAGGATGCATCGAATCAACCACGCGGACCTGCCACAGACATGCAGTGTTGTGCCTCCCTGTGTTTTAACGCCGCAGAACCGGTGGCTAGCTATAAGCCTTAATCCGTATCAAGTACGTCCTCAACACGTCCAAACAGCTTTGAAGTTATCTCGGCTCGGGAACATCCACCAGGGGTATCTCGAGAAGCTCATGACTCCATTCACCCGGAACCGTCAACCCAACGATCGTGGCCACCTTCAGTACTACGCGGCCATACCAAAGATCATCTCTGGCGGGTATCTTTTGAGGAAAGAATGGATATTCAAAAGTGGCGGCGAGTGCCACTTTGAAGACGTACATGAGCAAATCAGACGGGCGGCGCTAGTTTGTTATCACATGATCATAGCTTTCACCCACAGCTCTTTGAGAGAGTGGTATATCGCGCAGAAATATTGTTTCCCCGGCATCTCATATCCCCAAACACCCTTCGACAAGAGCTTCTGGTACGCGGTTTGTAATGTTGGTAAAGAGTTCAGAGAAAAGTGTGGGAACTGTTCCGACAGAACAGAGTACTCAATCTTGTGCCCAAATAAGTACACGATAGTCATCCGTGCCTGGTACGACTATGGAACTGAGACGCATGACGACTGGGCATCAATCACGGGATTTCTGGAAAAAATGCCTCGGAGAGAATCTTCGTCACAGTCAATCCGGGAGAATTTTGACGAATGAAACACCCATCCAATTTCATGGGTCGACTGGATATTAATAATGCACGTCAAAGGCGGACGGTCGATCTGAGCTTATTTGTTCAGCTAGGGTAATGACAAAAGAGATTGGTCTAAAATTGTAATATGAAGAGCCATATCAGAATGTTTTACATCACTTGGTGATAGTACCGATGTGTTTCCCTGTGTTTGAGAATCGGTGAGAATACTCATAAGGGGCTTTTTTCTCTCTCTTTTTTCTTTTTTTCCTCTCTCTCTCTCTAATTTAGCAGGCTTTCGGCTGGCACCTGGACAATCTCAATGCGTTCCCTACATGGACTTACCGAAATCACTACCTACTATGACCGTAAATCTCAAAATCCCATGTTTATCGACGCACGCTTAATCAATAGTCGGTTTCTTATCTCTTCTCGCGCGCTCATTATCCCGCTACAAGTGCAGCGCAATGTATCGCCGTTAGCCAGGCAAAGCTACCATTATGAAGGCAAATGGTGTAAATGTCCGGGTGTGGTGAATACTGCCCAGACATCTCATCTCAAAAGCATCCTTTCCGCTTCCATGCGCTCTTTCATAACACTAGAATTTTCACAGATGAAAATCAACAAGCTTCGTGTCTACAAAATACCGCATCGCTTCCACGGAAGCTTCGAAGAGCACCGTGAGAGCTACCAGAGTGCACCGGAGAGAACGGAACAGCAAGCTTTAACCTCCGCTGCGGACCGGCTGCTTAAAAGTGTCGGTCCGGCGCGTTCAGCGAGCCCGGCAGCACGGTAGGCCCCTGCTAGGGAGCTGACCAGTGCTAAAATAAGCTGTCATTGCTTAGGCGAATACGCGCGAATTTGGGGGATCAGCGGAGCTTGCAGATTGGCTTGTGGAAGTTTGTGTTAGCGTGATACTCTCATATCGTCCGATTCCACACTACGGCGGAGGTATCGTCATATTGCGACTCAGGGGTCGCCGACCAACATCCTGGAGATGACCCAGATCGCTGTGCGAGGCCTGCTCCGGCAAGCTTCGGGGCCAAAGCTGGCACCCGCGCGCCGCGGGCGCAGCTGAAACTGGAGAGAGAGCTTGGCGATGGAATTTGAATCTCCAGATGCGTCGTCAGCTTGCACTCGCTCCCCCTTTCCTCACATCCGCTCCCTTTGACATTTTTCCTTTGTACACTGAAGATCATCACTTTCTCTTTCCCCTTTCTTCTATATTCTTATTCTAATCCCAGTGGCTCAGGGTTTGCTACTCCAGCAACCCGGCCTTCTCAAAAGTGAGAATGCCACGTTTGTCAGACGAAGTGGAGGCCGCACACCTCATGGGTGCCGAGTTCGCCGACCTCGAAGGCCTGCCCACCGACGCCGCGCCGGTCCGGGCCTTTGACCAAACGCGGTCGAAATGGAGCAGGTCGCCCCCGGGGCTCGGCGGCTGGGCCGGCGGCGGCAACAGCAGCAGCGCCATGGGGAGCGCGCTCTGGGCCGTCGGGGTGCGCATCAACGACGCGCTGCTGCGGTTCCAGGTGCGCTCGCCGCGCGCCGTCATCCTCATGCTGGCGCTGCTCAAGTTCTCCATCACGACCAGCGGGACGCTGCTCATGATCCCGATGCTGCGGCTCATCGAGGACGACATCTGCCACAAGCACTACCGGCTGCCGCACTCGGAGACGATCCCCGAGATGAAGTGCAAGGTGGACGCGGTGCAGAAGGACATGGCGTGGCTGTTTGGGTGGCAGTCGCTGCTTGGCGCCATCATTAACATGCTCGTCGCCTTTCCCTATGGCATCCTATCCGACAGGTGAGTACTTAACATCATGTGTGAAAGATCGCAACCATGCCAACATGATTCCCAGAATCGGACGCAAAGCAGTGCTCCTGCTCGCCTACTTCGGCACCGTCCTCACCTTCAGCTGGGCGCCCCTGATGCTCTCCTTCTTCCCAGAGGCCAACATCTACTTCCTCTTCGTCGGCATGGTCTTCGGCGTCATCGGCGGCGGCATCGTCGTCATGTTCAACAACGTGTACGCCATCGCCGCCGACATCAGCACCGAGAAGGACCGCGCCTCCAACTTTGTCTACCTCTCCGTCGGCGCCGTGCTCGGCGGCCTCATCGGCCCCGTCACCGCCGGCTACCTCATGGAGCAGTACGGCCCCTGGCTGCCGATCAAGCTCGTCTTCCTCTTCACCCCGCCCATCTTCCTCATCTGCGCCCTCCTCCCCGAGACACTCCGCGTCAAGGCCGACAGCCCCCAAAAGCCCCAGGTCCCCCTCGCCCATGCCGTCCGCGAGTCCTTCGCCAACGGCCTGCGCGAGCTGCAGCAGTCCATGAGCATCCTCCGCAACCGCAACATTCTCCTCTGCCTCGTGCCTTCCCTGCTCGCCAGCGCGCTGCACGCCTCGCACTCCTCCACGCTCTCGCAGTACGTCAGCAAGCACTTCAACTGGACACTCGCGCAGACGTCCTTCCTGCTGTCGCCGCTCAGCTTCCTCCACCTCGGCATCCTGTTCATTCTCCCCTGGCTGTCCAAGGTGCTGACGAACCCGCGCGGCCGCTTCCGCTGCACGGGCTTCGGCAAGGACGCGCTGCTCGCCAAGGGGTCCTACCTGATGATCGCGCTCGGCGGCTTCATCGAGGGCTGCAGCTGGGAGATTGTCGTGTTCCTGGTGGGCTTGTCGGTCACGACGTTCGGCTCGGCGAGCTGGCCGCTGGTGCGCGCCATGATCACCGAGTTCGTCGACCAGGAGCACACGTCGCGGCTGTACGCGCTCATCAGCATGGTGGACACGCTGGGCTCCCCGCTCGGCGGCCCGGCCCTGGCATGGACGTTCACCATCGGGCTGGAGAAGAAGGGGGCCTGGAGGGGGTTGCCGTGGTTCTATGTCTCGCTGCTTGCTGGTCTGACGTGGGCTGCGCTGTCACTAGTCAATGAGCCGAGGAAGAAGGGGGCGATCCAGCTGGAGAGCCACGATGAGGACGTGAGTGGGCGCAACCAAGTCCCCGACGCGGAAGAAGGGCGGTGAAAAAGTCCTGTTTTGGTTCTTCTGGTCACTGTATTAGTAGGTAATTGGCGTTTTTGTTATAGACGAGGAATTGGCCGCAGGCTGGGTTGGCTTAGCATTAGTAGACAGAAATTAAAGGTATCGCAAGCCGGCAACGGCGCGAGTGTTTTTCTCGCATGATTCTTGGCACCGCCAGAACAGTTCCCCGCCCGCGATGGCCTCAATTTAACACGTCCGATGAGCCAATGCCTCTGGTCGCCATTGTTTCGTTATCAAGGTGTGTTGGGCAGGGCCAACATTCATGATTGGCGCATATGGCATGATGAAACCAACGAGGTTGACCCTTGTGAGACTTCAGGGATGGTGGATATCGTGAGCCTCGCTGGCATCGCCAGCGCCAGCTGTCATTCGCCCACGTGGCGGCGACGTGTGCACTATTGGCGGGCCAACGAGGCTGACCTGAAGCGTTGCCGTCCACTTTGACTGTCTGAGGTCTTTAGGAGAGTGAAATAAGGCGGTCGCGGTGGGCTCCCATGGTGTTGTTGACTGTTCAAGCGCGCATGAAATTGGGCACTTTGGGCTCGAAAATGGGGATGCGTTGGTTGTATCTAAGCGCGGAAGAAAAAAAACAATGAAATGCCTCACTTGGCCAATGTTACGATAATGCTATTGTCCATCGGCATTTCTAAGTGAACTCAGTCAGCTTACAGAATCACGAAGGCATCTTTGCCTCAATGGTTAAAAAAGAAAAATCCGATGTAGCTGCAAAAGCCACGATGCCCTCACTTCCAGGCCGAACCCCTGGCACTATGCCGTGTCTGCTTCACCGTCAGGAGCGAAGATCCCTGCTCGCCCCCGATCGCCTCACCAGCCACAAGCCCTTTCATCATGATCCGCGATATCGAAGAAACTAGGCTTCCTTAGCAAGCTTACCCGGGCGAATCCTTCAGCCTTGGCAGTCCAGTCTCCCCGTACCGAGCCACTCATAAACCTCCGCGATGATGCAGATTACACGGAGATCATCCGCATCTGCCTGTGAGCAAAGTGGACAAACAGGCAGAAATAAGGCGAGCTTGTATCCGTAATGATTTGCTGCTCAGTCAGTCAGTCCACAGCGTCCGGGCGCCTAAGTGTCTTGTCCCGCCGTCTCGGTCCGTGGCGCAGCCCTACAAGCACCGATGATCCCCGTCAATCAGGGAGAAAGTCCAGCGTCCGGTCCATGCCTTACAGTGAAAAAAAGGTGTAGGCTCCCCGCATTTGGGTGTGGTGTTCCGTGTGCCGCGCCGCAGAGGCAGCCGGACCCTTGGCGCGGGTGGTGTCTGATGTCATGGTCCGACCTTGTGTTCTCATGCTATACACTCTTGATGTTTTGCTCCAATCCTTCGTGCCGTTGATTTGATCTTGGCACGCCATTTGGATATGCGCCACCCAGGATTGCTGGGCGACGGGCGACGGTCGTCTTCCTGGGTTCTCGTGGTTCTCATAAGGACGCCATCCCCCCTCTTCACGATGGAAGAGTCATTCGTGTTTAGCATCTCACCATAAAGAATTACGACGAGGCAAAACCCTCATTCAACATCTCGAAGATACCCTCAATTGCCGTTGTGTTTTTCTTGTCAAATTTAACGATACCCCTGACTTAGATCTAATACTTCCACAATTAACTCACAAACGTCCGCATTTGCTCTAGAGGTACTAAACACAACACTCAATCCCATCACGGCATCATAATCAATCAAATTCATCACCCAGCACGTTTCCATCAGGATGGCCACCGGCATGATGTCCACCGCCGACCTCGAATCCAAAATCCGCCAAGCGGCCGTCAAAAACCGCGAGCTCCTGTCCACCCTCTCCTCCACCAACCACGCCGTGCCGGACCTGGCCCAGCAGCGCCGCCTCATCGCCGACCTCGAGCACCAGCTCGCGGCCTCCGACAAGCACGTCAAAGAGCTCGACACGCGGCGGCGCAAGGAGCTCAAGGACCACGAAAAGTACCGCGACAGCGTGATGCGGC